ATAGAAAAGTTATTTTAATTAAAAAAAAAATTTTATCTTGGTTTTTTTCCTCCTTTTCTATTTTTTACAAAAAATTAAATTCCTTGTAAACATGTTATAACTCATAACATTGTATTAAAAATATTAATAAAGTGCAATAAATATTGATAAACTTTTTTGCCTTAACACAAGTAAAAGCATAACGGTATATGTTTATTAATAAATGGTACTTGGAAACTTAAATCTTTGTCACAAAAAAAAAAGCGCCTGTAATGTAATGAGCTTGTAAACTTGACCTTTTTTTCTTTGCTGTTGCAAACTTGTTAGTAATATTATTTGTTTGTTAATAACTTTTTAAAAGTAAAAAATCACTATTTGCATAATTGCAATTTTAAGAAATAATGAAAAAAAATATTAAGATATTTTATAAATAAATATACAAATGTCAAGAAAAGAAAGAATTTAATGTTAAATGATAATAAAAAATGTAAATATTAAATTTAATTATTTAATATTAAAAAACAAAACAAAAATTGAAACAAAGTAGACATTCTACATTCCATAGACATTCTATCTTCCATTACAAACTTGTTCATAGAAAGAAGACTAGTACATTCCTACCATACTAGAAATATATACAATAGAAAGCTAAATGTGCCTTTAATGTACCATCTTTTAAAACCCAGAAGTATGGTAAACATTATTATAACTTGCTAATTATGATTTCTACATGTTTGTTTTTAATGTATGTTCTATGTGCTTTGAGCTATGTGTTTACGGTCCATGTGTATATGTATATATATATATATATATATATATATATATATATATATATATATATATATATATATATATATATATATATATATATATATATATATATATATATATATATATATATATATATATATATATATATATATATATAGTTATATATATATATATAACTATATATATATATATATAGTTATATATATTATATAAGTTGGCTGCAAGAGCATATATATATATATATATATATATATATATATATATATATATATATATATTATATATATATATATGCTCTTGCAGCCAACTTTAATCATTTTCACATCATTGTAATGTTGTTTCTCTTTCTCTTCTTTATAAATAACTATAAAGGATGCTGTTCTAAAGAGCTAGCGTCTCTTGTGCTATCTACTAAAATTCATTCTTGTGTTATTTATCATTTACCTGTCTCATCTTTTTACTGTGACTGTTCCTGTAAACTGTTCCAAAAATTTATATTTTTCTAGTTTTTATCCTCGAACATCATGCAGTGGGCCAAACAGCTGTTTTCACGGACATTGGTTCATAACTTTTGAATGAAAAGTGCTATGGGGTTGATTAAAGACTTTGGAAAGGTTTTTATGTGTAAATTTTGGAAAAACTTAAAAATAATTTTGCTGCAGGATATTTAGGTCATAATTTAAAAGAACAAAAAATTTAAAATTTCATAAAATTTGTTTTCTTATAGGTTATAACAAAAATATGTATAAATGTTTATAAATATGTATGTATAATTTGTAATACAAAGATTACATAAGTACATCAATGGCAAAAACAATATTATCAAAAGAAGTACTAAAATACGTAATTTATTCATGTTAACATTTTAAAATATATGTCATCTTTAGATACAATATATATTATAATATAGAGATATTTTGCTTATGAGAATATTTATCAGAATGTCCTCATTCATACCAAAATTTGCAGAATGATTTTGACTTGTATCTCTTGTCGAAAAAAATTTGATTAGATGATATCCACATTCAGTTAATCGTGTCTGTTAAATTGGCAATTTAGGAGTTTTTTCTTGAGAGTCTAGTATGTTTCAATCTTAATGTTTTTTTATTACCTTTTAACCCTAAATCATAAAGGTTTCCCAAACCACTTTCCTCATTATTCAAAATTAGCTCTTAAGAATAACTAATCAGTTTGTAAAGTGATTGCGTTATACTGACCGTGGCCCAGGTAAATTTATTTTTGTAACAAGTGAAAACTTGTTAAATAAATAAAAATCTGTTTTTATTTTGATCCACATAAATTTTTCTTTTTGAGGAAAATACTCAAAGAATTACTGAGAGCAATTCGAACTTTTGAAATGTTGCATGATATTAAACAGGCAGTTGTGCAATAATTAAATCCCTGTTTGATTTTTTGTGCAATACTTCTCTATATAGCCTGTTGTTCCTTTTTTTTTTAATTGTATCAGGGTAGTCTCATTTTATACTTGTTTTTTTTTTTTCATATCTCTGTTTGTAATGAAGTCTCTGCTTGCTTCAGAAATCTATTTGAGGCACTGAAAGGGGACTCAGACCAATCAAAAACACCAGCTTTCATGTATACAACATTTTTTATGAAATGGTCAAATGTACCCAGTAAAGTATAAAGAACCTAAAAAAATATCAGTATTTTTAAAATGTAATAATTTTTAATATAAAGTATGTTCCTATATTAAAAATATAGAATAATATAAAAACTATTACATGATACCAATTTACTTGTATTAGCTTTACATCACAGATTGGAATTGGTTTGAAGGTTTGTCCGGACCTTGTGATATAATTGGGTTTTTTTTTAAGTAAAGAAATGTGTTCTTATTCAAGTTGGTTAAATATTTCATTCATAGTACAAACTGTTTAAATTGTTTCTATTGGAAACTTATTGAAAGAGTTATTCTTTAACATACTCTTTGAGCAAGGTTTCTTTACCAGCCTTGAATTGTATGCCAGCATAGTCCATTTTTTTAAGTTTGTTTTTCTTCAGTTGCAGATTTTTGCTAGCTATTCTGAACTATTGTTTTTTGTGAAAATATCAATTCATCGGAGCCAAGTGCATTAGCAATTACCAGTATATAAGCTGTTATACTTGCAGAATTAGTTTTTGGTTGTTTATTTTCCTCAGCAATAAAAATTTCAAATAAATCAAATTCAGTGAGCTTTATTTTTATTTAACTAAAGATATAAATATTTTTGTTGATTCATTATCTTCTAATAACTTTTTAAACAAAATGATTTAAAACTTGAAATAATATAATTCAAAATATAAACAAGTTTACGCGAGACACCACAAAGTCCTCAGTTTTGATTTTAACTCTTGCATTTCGTTCATTTTAAAACAAATTTTAATGCTGCAATATTTTTTTTTTATTAATGGTTATACTAGCTAGATTAAATTTGGTCAAAAAAAAGTTCAATAGAAAAGAGGGCTGGGGCTGGGTCAAAAATTGGTCTGAATCCTTTTTTTAATTTCTAGACACTTTTATTGAAAACATCTTCCCTCTATAAAAATATTTATAAAATAATGTAAAACTATTTGCATTAATATTTTTTAATAAATTTTACAAAAATTTAAACTATAGGGGTAGTATAATGCCAAAAATGACTTTTATGTATCATTTATACCTATTACATATCTTTTGCAATGAATTTACATTATTCAAATTAGTATATTTCCTGAACAAATGATGCTTTTGAATTAATTATTTTTTTAATGAACTGGAAATTTATTTGGTTTTCAATAACAACTAACTTAAATTTAATTTGGTAACATTGATTTTTGAGCAATGTCCACTGTTTGGCCCGCTGTGCATCAGCTCTTTGGAATTTGCTCCCTTTTTTTTGTTTTCCTGATTCATATAATTTTCAATCTTTTAAGTTGTCTGTTGATTATTATCTTGCTTTATAAATCTTTTCTCTTCCCATAACTTCTAACTCTTATAATGGTTGCTTACAGCCTTGTTGTTGTTGTGGTTGCATGCAGCCTTGTTGTTGTTGTGGTTACTTGCAGCCTTGTTGTGGTTGCTTGCAGCCTTGTTGTTGTTGTGGTTGCTTGCAGCCTTGTTGTTGTTGTGGTTGCTTGCAGCCGAAATTGTTGTTATGGTTGCTTGCAGGTGAAGTTGTTGTTGTGGTTGCTTGAATCCTTGTTTGACATGAAAACGTTAAAAAAAAAATTGGAAGGAGTTTAGAGTTTGGAATAAAAAGTAGAACATCAAACTTTTTAAACACTCATGTTTATATTTACTTCATTAAAAAAAACAAGTACAAGGCATTATAGTTATCTAACTATATATAAATAAATAATAGTTAACAAATAAATTTTTAAAATAAGGTTTACCATTTCTTTTTTACTAGAATTAATAGACATAAGTTCTCTGCTATTTAACCTAGAATGAATCTTTTCTGACCTGAACTCCTCATTCAGATGTCATTTTTACACATCTTTTAACAGACGGTGTAGGCGAAGGCCATATTGTTGCTTTCATTGGGTTGTTAAAAATTTTTCAAACTGCTTCAGCTGATTAATTACATGTTAAAGCTGGTTCTGTAATATCACTCCAGTCTTTATATTTATCTTTTATCTTCACTCTGGGGATGGAAGAAATCTAGGATAGAAAGATAAAGTTTAGAAAAGGATAGAAAGATAAAGTTTTAGAAAGATTTTTAAATTCAATAACAGAGTATTATAAGTTAATTTTTCACTTTTTAAAACACGCATAATTTATCATTCTTATGTAGTAGTATACCTGCGGTAATGGTGTAGTAGAAGGAAAGTATTTAACATTGTTTGCTAAACTAAATTTTGAAATGCACAACTTTGCATATAGAGATAAATTTTAGTTTGGTAAATAAATGGGCAAATCTCTGATTTAAGACAAAGAAATTTATGACAAAGTAATTTATGAACTTTGTTGTAATCTCTGAAGAAAGAGTCAAAATGGTATTTAATAATTTTTTTTTCATGTTTTGCATACCGATTTACAAAAAAAAACAAAAAAATCATCATTGAGTTAATATCAGCATCTAATATTTATGTATACCGATTTACAAAAAAAAAAAAAAAAAATCATCATTGAGTTAATATCAGCATCTAATATTTATGTATATAATATAAAATATTTATACTTTTGTTTGAATTTCTAATAATATTTCTAAAATTATTTAATTTTGAGTTTTTAGTAATATTAACTGTAAACTTGTATATTTTCTATTTAGGTGACGAATTCGATGTTTGTGCAATATGCATTGAAGAATATGTGCAAAATGATAAAATCAGAATATTACCTTGTAACCATGGTAATTTTTTGTTTGTTTGTTGTTATTTTTTTTAATAATTTCTAAACTTAATCGTACAACCCCCTGGATGTAACGTAAGGTTTTAATAAAAAATTTCTAAACTTAATTGTACAACCTCCTCTGGATGTAAGAATGGTTTTAATAAAAAATTTCATAACTCGATTATTATAATAAATTTTTTTTTTAAATAATAAGCGTCTAAACAAGATAAATAAAAACAATATAAAATAAAAATTTGCAATCATAAAAGATTTCAATTTGAAATCTATCATAACTAAATTAACAAAAAAAATGGGGAAAAAAAACACTCAGATTTGCAACAATTTGACTAAAAATCACTTTCAAAGCACTCACAAATCAACATTTTCCAGCCATGTTTAAGGATCTCATCCAAAATGGTGAGTTTAAACCTGAAAATGCATGAGTGGTTTCCAATATACCAGTATATTTCTACTCGATTGTTTACAAATTTTTTCTCAAAAAACTTCCATCAGCCTCCAAACACATCATCAAACTCAATAACACACTGTCAAGAATGTCTAATGAAGTTTTGCTTAAAAGCTATGATATTTTGAATTATGTTCAACAAGTTGGAAAAGATGAAAAACGATTGTCACCAACTCTAAATAAAAAAAAAGGTGAGAGAACCAGCTAAATACAATATGACCTTAGAGAATGCCATAGCTTTTGATGAAGCTGAATTTTGTCACTGAACAAGCAACAAAAAAACAAAAATTAGACAAACAAGTTGCAAAGAGAGCTGAAAAAGGTTGCCACACTCAAAAAGCAGGAAAAAAAAGAGAAGAAAAAAAATGTTGAAACATTAGTCAGTCAGCTAAACTACCAAGTAAATGTCAAAAACCAAAAAATCAATCATAAGACCCACATTTACCTCAAACTTCAAATAGCATTTTGGTATCTAATGATTGTCTTTGTTATTCTTGTGAAAGTCATTGGGTAAATAGCTTAGATAATCAATGTGATTGCATGTTAGCAGTGCTCAAATTGGTCATGTGTTGTTGATTATAGTCTTACTCTAAAATTTATTTGTAATGAATGTGAATAAAAAATTTTCTTTTTTTAATTTAAACAATTCAATTTCGTTAATAGATTAACTTAATTTTTACTGTTAGTATTAATTATGTGTGTGTTTTTTTATATTTTATATGCATCCAGAAATAGAAACATAGACCCCTAATCTGAATAAAAACAGTGCTATTTAAAAATTAAACAATATGAAAAATTAAATTACAAAAATATAGTTTTTTATATTTTTTGATTTGTCTTGTTATGACATTTATTTATTTAAAAAAATTATTCGAAAATCTTTTATAATGAGTGAGTTGTGGTAATTTAAGTTCTAAATCATCTGAAATCATCCGGGGGTTTCATTTGGAATTAAGGGGTTTTACGGTTCCTTATTAAGTAAAATTTTTTTAAATGAAATTTGGAAAAATATTTTCTTGTTTTAGTAACAAATTTTTTTTTTATTAGCACCTTGAATGAAATGAAGTTAATGACGTTTCTTCAACCTGCTTTTCTTAGTTTTTTTTGTTATTTTTATAAATAAAGTATCTCCTAAATGCAGTTATTGTTGTAAAGTCTCCTAAATGCAGTGATTATAAATATAAAAAGAGTAGAATTCCATCAAAAGAATGTGATTTAGAATTTCAATCTAAATCACTTTCTGTTGACTCATCTAAGCTGGATTCTGTTGACACATTAAAACTGGATTATGTTGGTTCGTCTAAACTAGATTCTGTTGACACATCTAAATTCCATTCTGATTATTCTTGACCTATCTAAATTTCAATTTTTTTGCCACCAAGAAACTTCTAATGAAAATGTAAATTTTCGATAATTATCATATGAAAAGTATTTTTCAACATTCAAATGTTATGTAGGTCTCATCATTTATTTGCTTAAAATATCGTTTTAAAATCTCTTTTTTAAAGAATTCTGTGACTATATAGGAATAAAAGTTGGTAAATATTTTTTATTCAATATTCAAGCTTTACTATAGGAAAAGAATATTTATGCTGATTGTATGATGAAATCTATTATTAATGCTGATTGTATGATGAATTCTCTTATTTATGCTGATTGTATGATGAAATCTCTTATTTATGGATTGTATGATGAATTCTCTTATTTATTCTGATTGTATAATGATTTCTCTTATTTATGCATTGTATGATGAAATCTCTCATTTATGGATTGTATGATGAAATCTCTTATTTATGCATTGTATGATGAAATCTCTTTAAACTCTTTCCTCATATATTTAAAATATTTAAATAATAATTTAAACAAACATTTTTTTGTGTGCTTTTATTATTAAAACGTGACTTAGAGGTTACCTAGAACTAATCTACTTTAAACAAATATATATATTTTTTGTGCTTTCATTATTAAAACACGATTTAGAGGTTACCTACATTCGTGTGCAGTAAAATAGTAGTACGTATTTTATTTTTCTATCAACAAACTTTGAACATCAAAGTATATTTTTCTATTGTTTGTTTTTTATCGTTATAGTTCATAAACTAAATGTTGTGATTATAATAGTATAAAAAAAATTTAAGAAAGATAATTGCAGCACTGTATGGTTTTAAATTTTCAATATTACCGATTGAAGATCATTTGTATTTTTTTTTAGACTGTGCAATAAAATAGTAGTGAAAAATTAATTTTTGTGTAATAATTGCTGTACTTATTAAATTCTAATTATTATTAGTTCGTAATAATAAGCAATAAGTATCTTATTAATTTTGATATTAGATAAATTTATACACTTTTGAAAATATATGATATTAGATAAATTTATACAAAATTTTGAAAATTTAGAGAAACATGGGGCGCTCTAAGCATTGTACTGAAGAAGTTCATAATTTAATTATAAATCTTAAAAACCATGGTAAAGCCTGCAGACAAATATAAGAACTGGTTGGATGTTTTACAACAATGATTTGTAATGCTTTAAAATGGATACCCAAACCAGAAAAACGTGGAAATAAAAGATCAACTACTGCTATAGCAGATCATCGAATTGTATTGTTAGCAAAAAATGAGTCATTTATTACTTCTAGAAAAATTAAAGAAAGACTAGAATTAAATGTTAATACCTCAACTATTCGAAGATAATTAACACATGCCGATTTAAATGCAAGAACACTTAGAAAAGTGCCACTTTTGAGTAAAAGACATATCGAAAATTGTTTAAAATTTGAACGTATGCATGCTTCTTGGCCTAAAGAAAAAATGGTGAAATGTTTTGTAGACTGATGAAGGCAAAGTTGAAATTTTTGGTTCCTATGTTCGTAAACAGTATGTTAGAAGACCAACGGGTGCAGCGTACCAGCCACAATTTACATTAAAGACCGTCAAATATGGAGGCTCAAAAATAATGATATGGGGTTGTTTTTCTTACTATGGTCTTGGGCCAATACATCGCATAGAAGGTATCATGGATCGGTTTGTATATGTAAAAACACTTAAAGAGATCGTGCTGCCTTATGCTGAAGAAGAAATACCATTAAAATTTTTGTTCCAGAAGGATAATGATCCCAAACATACAAGCAAGTTAGCCAAATCGTGGTTTAATGAGAACAAAGTCAATGTGATGGAGTGGCCAGCACAATCCCCCGACTTCAATCCAATTGAAAACTTGTGAATTGATGTTAAACAAGCAGTTTCTGAAAATAATCCAAGAGTTTGTAATCAATTGTGGGACGTAGTACAGTCAGCATGACAAAATATATCTGTCGAACGATGTCAGAATCTTATTAATTCCATGCAACGAAGATGCTTGGCGGTTATTACAAATAAAGGTCATGCGACAAAATACAAATGTAGAGCTTCAAAATAAAATTTTTTTTTGTAATAAAATTTAATTATTTTTTGACCTTTTCATAAAAAATGATTTTCACTACTATTTTATTGCTCAGTAAAAAAAAAATACGAATGACCTTCAATTGATAATATTGAAATTTAAAACCATACAGTGCTGCAATTATCTTTCTTAAATTTTTTTTATACTATTATAATCACAACATTTAGTTTATGAACAAAAACGATAAAAAACAAACAATAGAAAAATATATTTTGATTTTCAAAGTTTGTTGTTAGAAAAATAAAATACGCACTACTATTTTACTGCACACGACTGTAGAACTAATCCACTTTAAACAAATATTTTTTTTGTGTGTGCTTTCATTATTAAAATACGATTTAGAGGTTACCTAGAACTAATCTACTTTAAACAAATATTTTTTTTGTGTGTGCTTTCATTATTAAAACACGATTTAGAGGTTACCTAAAACTAATCTACTTTAAACAAACATTTTTTTTTTGTGCTTTCATTATTAAAACACGATTTAGAGGTAACCTAGAACTAATCTACTTTAAGATGGCTCTGAGTTTTGATTTTAGTTCTAAACAATTATTTCATTGGTTGACAAATAAACATTAATGGCTATTTAAATGTAAACATTTAAATTTTAACTTTTGTAGGAGAAAAACAAGAACAATTATTTCTTATTTTATTTTATTGTTGTTTTTATAATGAAATAATCATAATTATTTATTTATTAAATTATATTTTATAAAAACATTATCACCAGCCAAGCAAATTTATTTCGCCCTTTTAAGTCATCAATATAATACATATCCGATGTTTTTATAAAACTATACACATCCCATGTTTTTATAAAACTATACTCTTCGTTGTTTTTATAAAACTATTCGAGTATATTGTAAGTAAATTTAATAAACATCTGATGTTTTTATAAAACCATACCCTTCGATGTTTTTATAAAACTATACACATCCGATGTTTTTATAAAACTATACCCTTCGATATTTTTATAAAACTATTCGAGTATATTGTAAGTAAATTTAAATAAAAACTCAAATCAGTTATTTAAGTAAATGTTTATTCGTATATATATACGTAATATAATACGGGTAGATTTTTACTATTCGTATCCGAGCTGTTTACATCTTTAGTTAATATTTTACTATTTAGTTTATTATTCAATTATAATGTTATTTTGAGGTGTAAACGCATTATATCATTTTATACAATTTAAATCATTTTAAAATTATATTGTTTAGCATACCATTGCAAATGTGTTGATCCTTGGTTAACTTCTGGTAAAAAGCTTTGTCCCGTATGTAAACAAACTGTAGAGTCTGACTTAAAGCGAACGTCTAAAAATGTTATTATTAATGGTAACGATGGTAACTCTAACGATGTTAATGGTAGCTCCGCACTAACGGAAGAATCAGAAGACGAAAATACCCCTTTGTTGGCGGCATCGCAAAACCTTCCGAATTCCGGAGCCATGGCTTGATATTTTTAAAGAAATGTTATATTCAAATTATACAGTCATAATATATTTTATAATTTTTCTAATTAAACATTCTTTGTATCCTAAAAATGATACATGCAAAACTCATCTTTAGAATGATATTTACGACATTCAAGTGTTATTATATGTTGCTTGCAGGAAATGCAAATCTTTTTAGCTTCATTTTTGTATTTTTAATGTCAATAGTGTATATGAGTTTATTTTACAAAATTTCTTTGAAATAATATAATTTTAGAAAATAATTTTTTATCAAAATGATAGATTGTCATTAAAGTAGACTGTTGTAAATTGCGAAGTTTTTTGCAAACTATGATGTAAATAGAGGCTTCTAGTATTATAGATAAACCAAAGCCTTCAGTCAATAAATTGAGGTGTCCTGCTGGATCTGTTGCAAGGTTTTTGCCAAACAAGTGAATTTATTACTAATAAGTTAATTCAAAAGAAGAGAAAATTTTAGGAACTCAAAATATATCTTTTTAATTTGCAAAGAAGATCGCAGTTTACCCATTAAAAAATTAAAAGTTGATTGACGTTAAAAGACTGTTCATAACCCGGGTTCATCTTATTTGTAAAGATAATTTTAAATTAATTAGGATTCGATAAAATGTTATCTTTGAAAATGTTTCCAACTTTTATAAAGTTACAAATTAAGTTGATCTTTAGGAAGAATATAAACGATTAAAAAAGCAACTTTTTTTACTTTTTGTTACTAAAATGTACATTTTGTCTAAATATTTATTTTAAAATATAGATATCGTAGTAATAATAAATATTTCTAATAAATAATATCTTATAAAAAAAAGTTGTATTGTTATATTAAAACTATTTAAGTATTAAGTGTAAATGTAAAAATAAAGTTGATTTGAAATTATTTTTTTGATCAAATATAGATTAAAATAATGATAATAGATTAAGACTCCTATATTCTTTTCTTTTGAAACCTTTATTACAAAAATCTTGGGGAATATTTTTAAAAGTTACGCATGATAAATCGTTTTTTAAAATAAACAAATATGGCTTTTTGCTGCGGTTACCATGTAATCTTTATATTCTTAAACTTTTGTGTGCAAATATATGTATTACTTATATAATAACAAATATATAATTCAATTTGTTTATAAAAAATATATAATTCAATTTGTAAAGCTTAAACAGTGTTTAGTTCTAGTTTCAATCTAGTTTGTTATATACATAATATTTGTTCGTGTAGTAAATTTAAAAAGTTTAGGCTAAAATTTAAAATTAGTATTTTAAATTAATAATTCAAAAGTATCAAAAGTAGAGTTAAAATTAAGAACGGAGTCCTTATTTCAAACCAAGAAATTACAAAAAAAAGTTTTATGAACGCAGCAATTATTTCTTATACAGAACATTTCTGCAATACTATTAATTTTATGAATTGAGAAACGGTTCATTACTTAAACTGACATGAATTAAAATATTGGTTTAAAACCAATAAATGAAAAGTCAAGCAGCAAAATTTTCGGAAAAGATAAACAAGGTGCTTAAAAATGAACTTTTCGACCTTTTCTGGCCGCCCAAGTATCGATAACATCGTCGCAGTTTCAACCAAATCTTCTTCAATCAAAATAATCACAAGGTCAGTAACACGATCCCATGATCGAAGGTAAGAGTTTTTTACAATCTTCAGTTTACTAAACAATCGTTCACCCTCAGCAACTGACACAAGAATAGTGTTAAAAATTCAGAGCATGATGCAAATGTGCGGAAAAGGTATTCAATTTTCTTCTCAAAGATTTAATTGAGTAGCTGCAGTGAATTTTCCTGCTTAAAAATTGTTTTACGGGCATTGTTAAAACGTCGAACTTCTTCAATGACATTCTCTTTGTTCACATCTCTCGGATAAAACCGTGCAAGTATATTTTGAACAAAAAAATGATAATTATCCAACCAGATGAATGAAAACATATTGATAACATATTGCTTGTCTCAAATCTTAAATCAATCTACTGGATCAGACTATTTAAATCACTTTAAATTCTTTCGTTTGGCTGTCGTGGAAATTGGCTGTATTCGATGTCTTGAAAACGTTTTAGTTTACGTTTTCTTTAAGTAGAGAGTTCAGTTTCAAATCCTAGTGGTCCAGCAACAGCTACAGCCTCTTGAAAAATTTGCAACCAAGAGCCCTAATTCGTTTAAGATCTTCCAGTAGCTGTCCAATCACACCTAGCTCGTCATACAATTTGGTACAAAACCCTTACTGCTGTTTACGACTAACCTCGTAAACAGCAGTAAGGGTTTTGTACCAAATTGTAACTAGCAATACAAACTCAATAGATAATAATAATTTTTTAAGGCTCTTGCTTGGCTGAGCTGCTCACTGGTCAGACCCAGATTTTCCATGAAATGTTTAAGAGCTGTCAACACTTCTCTCGGCCTCTTAACAAATGGTTTAACTTGCATTAAAATTTCTGTCGCTTTGGTGAGGAACTTCCTTCGGGTAGGACTTACACTAAATAATAAGTATAAAAGTTTGACATTTCCAAAAAATACTTTGATCTCAATAGTTGATTCAACTGCGTGCACACCAATCAAATTCAGACTGTGAGCGCTACAGGGAACGTACAGAGTTTCCGAATAATTTTGCATTATTAAGGCTTGAGCTTCCTTGTAAGTACCTGACATGTTAAGTCCATTATTATATCCCTGACCACGACAGTTTCAGATATCCAAATCTAGCCTTGCAATCACATCAGAAACTCAACTTGACTCTTTTCTTTTTCTCAAAACCTTCAAAATGCAAGAATTGTTCTTTGATTCGCTAACAATTGTTTCTTATTCATAAAGGAGAAAACAAACAACAAAGGTTATTTGCTCAGTATGAGATGTATCGATGAGGTATATGGTGACTATGGTGAACATCGACTATGGTAGTGAAGTAGATGCCATACTGGAATTATTCGACAGCTGAATTTCGGATAACACCACCGCATTTTCTGATGAACTTGTTTTGATAAAAATGAATTGAAGTATCTTACTACAGAGGTAGCCAGAATATTTTTTTGGAACTAACCTTTTGGAACGAATACGCGAAAAGAGAAGGACGCGTTTATTGAAGCTAATAAAAATTTTAAATGGAGATTTCAATGAGGAATAATGAAAAATTAATAACATTCAAGCTCGAAGAACAAAAAAAATATACTCTGAATGAGACTAGTAAACTATTAAAAGATCAAGAAAAAAACTTTATGTCAATCACATTTGATGTCAATCACATTTGATGTCAATCACATTTGATGTCAATCACATTTGATGTCAATCACATTTGATGTCAATCACATTTGATGTCAATCACATTTGATGTCAATCACATGCGCAAATATGAAAATTTTGACTGATCGGCTTAGTCAAACTAGAAAACTGAACAACAACAAAATGAAAGTTGCATACATTGAAAAAGATATCATTGAGTTAAAAAACAGTTTGAATTTTCAAGAAGAAAATATTATGAAAAAAAATTATACATATAACCAAACGAATGGAGAATGACATAAACAACTTATATATTAAATAAACAGATTTTAAAAACCGATGCGGAGAAATAATTTAAGAATTGATAGATCAATTGAACAACCCAATGAAACCTGGGAAGACTGTTAAAAAACTGTAAGAGACGTAATAGCAAAACGCCTTAATATACATGAAGAAATTGTTATTGAGAGAGCTCACCGAACAGGAAACTAAAAAATGAAAAATTGCCAAGAACTATAGTTTTTAAACTACTAAGCCTTGTAAACAAAACAAGAATTCTAAAGAACTTTAAAAATCTACATGGTTTAGGAATTTATATCAATGAAGACTGTTCAAAGGAAACAATCGAACATAGAAAAAAAACTATGGGAAGAAGTGAAAAATTGCATCAGGAAGGAAAATACGCCATCATCAAATATGATAAAATTTTCTGTCGAGAATTTAAAAACTTGTCTACGCTCTTGCAAAAATAACTACACGGCATTGTGCTCCGTTGGTATGTTTCAAGTCTAATTTTTATTTTTATTATTTTTCATGGCTACTGATTTTGTAACAAACGAAACAATGATTTTGCTGCGTTTCAATATCTTTCAAACGAATATTTTACTGCATGATTTTTACGACTCTGAAGCGCAAGTTTTTCACGTATATAATTTTAATTCAGAATATTTTGAAAAAGAAATTTTTAAAATTGAACTTGAAACTTTAAAAAATAATTTCACTGCAATACACATAAATATAAGTAAATAATATGAATTACATAATATACATAAATATGAATAAAAATTTTGACAAACTAAAACACTTTTAATAGATTGCAATCTATTAAACTACTTTTAATAGATTGCAAAACGTGGTGTTCGAATGAATCATTTCAAACAAACTCAAATTTTCAAATTCCAAATTATAAACTAAAAACTTTTCAAAGAAAAACAAACAAAAGGGGAGAAGGGATTGCAACAGATATCCGAAATGATCAAGCGTTTAAAGTAAGACAAGACCTCTTCACCTTTAACACCGATTGCGGCGTCTTTACTATTGTGATAACGGGAAATAATTTTAAAATATTATAATTTCCACTTGTTATAGACCAGAAGATGATATAATTAAATTTTCAAATTTTTAAAATCAAATTTTCCTTAAAATAAATGATATAAGTAAAAAAAAAATTTCTATAGGGGATTTAATCATAAACTGTCTTAACTACAAAAAAAATGCGATTACTAAACTATTTTTGATAATATGTTTCAATTATGTATCCTCCCAATCATCAAAAAACCGACCCGGGTAACCCCAACCTTCGTCTCTGTCCTTAGACAATATGTTAACTAACTCATTTTGTCTGCTATAGACAATATATCAATATATCAAATAAAAAAGCAATGGAAATCACAATGAAAAACATTGAAATACTAATATCAAATAAATTAGATGAACATAGGAAAAGTATTTTAAAGGAAACAGAAAAGCTACTCAAGGAACAAGAGAAAACTTTTACTTTAATTGTAAGTGGCAACCTTAAAATCATATCAGATAAACTTAACGTGATGGAGAAAGAAATTTTAGAAAACAAATCAAAAATTAAAAATATAGAAAAGGATCTTAACGACGTTAAAGATAGTCTAAATTTCCTAGAAGAAAAAACTTTAGAAAAACTTAAAAAAATTAAAAAATACTTCGACAATGAAATCAACGTATTGTATACAAGAACAACAGATTTGGAAAATCGATCACGTCGAAATAATCTCAGAATAGATGGACTAGTAGAAAAACCAGGAGAAAGATGGAGCGAGTGTAAAATTGCAGTGAAAGAAATCTTTAATAAAAATCTTAAAATATCAAGCGAAGTGGTTATTGAAAGAGCCCATCGAATTGGCCCAATTAATAATAAAAAACCTAGAACAATAGTATTAAAACTCTTAAATTTCCAGGATAAAAACAAAATCCTGAATGCTGTAAAAAATCTTAAAGGAACTGGTGTGTATATTAACGAGGACTTTTCGCAAGAAACGATTGAACAACGAAGGAAACTTTGGGAAGAGGTGAAACGACTTCGAAGTGAAGGTAAATACGCCATTTTAAAATATAATAAAATATTTAGTCGAGATTTTAAAAAGTAGCGAGGCGTATTTTTCTTAATTTTTTTTTTCTTTCAAAGCGCTTTTAATTTCTCATTTTAAGCATAATGAATAACGAAACAATAGATTTTGAAACGCTGCACTTTAATGTCTTCGAAACGGCAAATAATGTTATACTCAACGATTTGAATGACGCAGATGCGCAGATTTTTCGCGGAATAAATTTTGGTTCTCAATATTTTGAAACAGAAACTTTTAAAATTGAACTTACAACATTAAGGAATAAATTCACTACATTACACATAAATATAAGAAGCATAAATAACAACATTGATAAGCTTAAGCAATTTCTAACCGAATGCAATTATTTATTCAGTATGATTTGTTTAACCGAGACATGGTGTTCTGACGATCCGTTCAGAATAAATTCAAACTTAGAAAATCCTAATTACAAATTAATATCTTCTGAAAGAAAAACTAAAAAAAGGGGAGGATGCCGATAGTGAGGTCTTAACAATTGAGATAACAACAAATAACAAATCAAAAAACATATTAGTCTCCACATGTTATAGACCACCTGATGGTGATATAACAAAACTTTCTAATCATTTAAAACAAATTTTTTATAAAAATAACAATGAACAAAAAAAACTATTTTGTATTAGAGACATTAACATTGATTGCTTACAATACGACAAACATGCCAAAACTAAATTTTTTTTTGACGAAATGCTCCAACATTACATCTTCCCAATTATTAATAAGCCGACTCGGGTAACTCAATCATCAGTAACGTCAATAGACAATATATTAACAAATACAGTTCTTGATGTTACTTTAAAAGCAGGTATTATAAAAACAGATATTTCGGATCATTTTCCGATTTTCTTTTCTCTGTCACATGATACAAAAACTACTAACGGCTGTAAAATTGAAATTCATAAAAAGAAAATTAAAAAATATGCTATTCAACAATTTAAAGAATCACTATCGGCAATAAACTGGGATAAAGTATACCAAGAATGTAACCTTGGACGCACCAACTCTGCTTACACTAATTTTGAAAACATTTTCTTAAAAAACTATAATAAATATTTCCCAATAAAAGTAATGCTAGTAAAAGAAAAACATCTAAAATGTCCATGGATCACCAAAGGAATTAAAAAATCTTCAAAAAAAAAAAAAAAAACTTTATATCAAATACTTAAAAATAAAAAATAGAAATGAAGCAAACCTAAATGCTTACAAACAATATAAAAATTTGTTTGAAAAAATCAAAAAGATTTCAAAAAAGAATTATTACTCAAATAAAATAAAAAACTCCAAAGGTGATATTAAAAAAACGTGGGACGTAATTAAAGAAATAATTGGGAACAAAAATTGCAAACCAAATAGTTTACCTACTAAAGTTGTTATAAATAATGAAGAGTATGTCAGTAGTGACGTAATCTCAGAAAAGTTTAACAATTTTTTCGTTAACATAGGCCCTAACCTGGCTACAAAAATTAATTGTCCAAACAACTCATTTGAGACATACTTAACTAATAACAATGACGAATTAGCATTTAGCGAACTAAAAATTGAAGAACTTGAAGTTGCGATAAAATCTCTTAAAATAAATAAATCTCCAGGTATAGATGATATTTGTAGCAATATCGTTATCGATGTCTTTTTGGAGATACGCAAACCGATCTTCGAAATATTTAAATCATCAATTAAAACAGGTACTGTACCAGATAAATTGAAAACAGCTCAAATTATACCAATTTTTAAAACAGGCGAAGCATCTTTATTAAATAATTACAGACCGATCTCTATGCTGCCTACTTTTTCTAAAATACTTGAAAGAATAGTTTACAATAGATTATACGAATATCTCCTTCAAAATAACCTCTTAAACAAAAAACAATTCGGGTTTCAAACAAAACACTCAACCGAACATGCCATTTTAGATCTTGTAAATAGCATGAGTAATTCTTTCGATAAAAAGCAATTTGTATTAGGGACTTTTATAGATTTATCTAAAGCGTTCGACACAGTTAATCACAATATCTTACTTAAAAAAATGGAAAGATATGGTGTTAAAAATATATCCCTTGACTGGTTCAAAAGTTACCTGAGTAGCAGAAAACAATGCGTTGTTACAGATCAAAATAAATATTCAGACCTACTAGAAATAAAATGCGGAGTTCCCCAAGGTTCCATTCTGGGTCCCCTTTTATTTCTAATATATATCAACGATCTTCCAAAAGCCCTAAAAAAACTTGATGTAATAATTTTGCTGATGATACAAATTTATTTTACTCATCGCCGTCTATAAGCGACCTTTACGAATCTATGAACACTGACCTCGAAAACCTCAACATCTGGTTTAAAGTTAATAAATTATCTTTGAATACAGAAAAAACAAAATATATCTTGTTTCACTCCAACCGTCTTAAGAACTTTATACCAGACACTCTACCTTCACTAAAAAATTGATAACATAAACATCAAAAGAACTGAAATAACTAAGTTTCTTGGAGTAATTATTGACCAGAATATTAATTGGAAAGCCCATATTAATACAATAAACACAAAAATATCAAAAAGTATCGGCGTACTCTACAAAGCCAAACCTATACTTTCCCAAGACAACTTAAAAATTCTCTTCTTTTCTTATATTCAAAGTTACCTAACATACGCTAATATTGCATGGGGAAGTACCCATAAAACTAAATTAAATTCACTCTACATACATCAGAAACATGCATCAAGATTAATTTATAATAAAGATAAATTCGCTCATGCCGACACTTTACTTAAAAATTTGAATGCATTAAATATCTATCAAATAAATATTTACCAAAATATCTTATTCATGCTAAAATACAAACTCGGACTTGTTCCGAAATACTTTACTGATAGCTTTTTTCATATCAACGTATTTATAAAGGCAATAGTCCTCCCAGTTTAACATAATAAAAGTATTGAGTTTGATCCAGTAAGTTTGTCCGTATTGAGTTGATAGTATATTTCGTGTTTAGCATTTAACGTTTTCTTAAGTAAGCTTTTGAGTAAGTTGTATTATATAGAATTATAATATCTATTTAAAATACAAGTTTTTTGACTGAATATATATTGTAGATGGGATTTTTTATGCGTAGTTACCGAACATAATTTCTAATTTTGTACGCATACTAACAACTTGCTAATGAACATTTTTTTGCAAGACTTGTACGAACATGAGTCGGAAAAACAAAACTAGAACAGAATATTCAATTAAACTACGTGCGAAAATTCAGATTTTATCTGGGGTAGGTTCAGATTTTACCCTTCAGATTTTATTTGAAGAGTAATCGTGTGATAAAAAAGAAAAAAAAACTGAAAATTCCTAAGTCAAGTGTAATATACACGTTAACACGATTATTAACAACTGGGACAAACTCGATTAAAAAACGCACAGGAAGACCGAGATGTACAACAAAGATGGAAGATAAACATCTTGTAGTTACGATCAAACATAATAGATGACTTCCAGCCACTATGATTAAAGAAGAATTAAATAAAGAAAGAAAAACTCAATTGATACGGTCAAGAGACGACTACGTAGAATTGGACTAGTTTGTCGTATAACGTGTCAAAAACCTTTGTTACGACGTGTAGATAAACAAAAATGGTGTAAAAGTTTGAATTATTCGGAAACAGAAGACGTCTATATGTTGAACGATTGGTAGGTGAACGTATTAGTGATATTTGTTTGAGTTATTCAGTAAAATACGGTGGTCGTAATGTCATAATTTGGGGTGGTTTTGAAGGGGCAAAATTTGGTGATTTAGTTCAAACTAAATCAATAATAGATAAAAAAGTGTACCATAGTATTTTGATTCATCATGTGGTGCCATTTGGTAATCGAAATATTGGTAAAGGGTTCAACAAGACAATGACCCTAAACACAATTCTAAACTATGTTCAAATTATTTGAAGACAAAAGAAAAGGAGAAAGCGCTTTAAATCATGACTTGTCTTTCACAATCACCCGATATAAACCCAATAAAGAAACTATAGGATATATATACATGTGTGTGTATATATATATATATATATATATATATATATATATATATATATATATATATATATATATATATATATATATATATATATATATATATATATATATATATATATATATGTATATAATATCAGTTACGAACTGCGGTTTCTTGATGACAAGACCTTCTGCAAGTTTTCCGCGTTCTTTATAATAAAGTATTCGGTACTCTACAGTGTTATTTTATTTTTTGTATAACACAATATTGTGGATTTTTATCGTATTATTATACTCTGTAAACGATATTTATAATATATGTTACGAAGTTATAATGATTAAAGAACAAAAAATTAAAAAAAAAAAAAAATTTTTTTTACTTATGAAAAGTCGATTAGTTGCAAAAAGTTTGTATCAAATAAAAAACTGGCTACCTCTGTAGTAACATGATTCAATTCATTAATCTTTGCGTACATAAACAAGAAAAAACTATTATGCAAAAACTTTTTTTTGACTTTTTTTGGTTTTAACTGAATTTGAAATACCATTAAAATGGTAATGTAGAAGTATGATGCAAAATTTTGATTTTTATCATAAGCCATTCGAAAATTTACCAAAAATATGTGGTTTTTTAACCCTAAAATTCCCCTTCTTAAAAAAGGAAAATTAAAGAAAAAGTTGTTAATCTTTTTTTAATTAGGAACTACTAACCTAATTCCGTAAAAAAGTATTATAAAAGTTAAAATTTGAAAAATCTTTAAAAAATGAGTAAAAAAAATAAGTAAAACCCTATTTGAACAAACATTTGTTTTTTTTTTTCTATTGGGTGTAAAGTAGACATTCCATCTACTTTATACCCAATGCAAAAACTCAAATATTTGACAACTGGTCGGATTCTGGTAGAGGCAAGGCGGTTTATTTGCCTAAAAAATGCTATTCTTTCTTTTGCTTCAACAGTTAAATACTAGTTGAAAAAGTAGCGCTTTTATCGTTAAATCGTCAACTAATGTCTCGTTCGCTTAAACTTCTTCAACAATCGTCTTGCTCACCCATGGAACGCGCTACCTAACGAACTTGTTAGTGCTATCAGTGTCGACAGATAGCACTGACAAAACGCAGTGGTTAGAGTTCTGGCTCAGAACCAAGAGGTTTGTGGTTCGACGCCGGTTCTAGCCCAATAAGTGACATTGGTAAACAAGGATGCGTAAACTTTCTGGTTAAACGCTCCTCCGCAGTGCTTTGTGATGAGACCAATAAGTCTTCTTGGAGCACCTTAATAACTTAAAAAGAAGATTGAATCTCTTTTTAAAACAAGCGAGTTTGAAACAAATAGCAAAAGATTCGTTAAATTCTTGTTGAATTTATTAAAACTTTTAATTCATTTAAAAGTTTATTTAAAAAATTTAATTAACATTTAATTCATGATGATAAATTATTTGAACTAAATAGATTATTTCAGATATTTATTTATAAAGTTTTTCAAAGCAATTTGATTATTGTAGTTAAATTTTGAAATTTAAATTTTTTTCTATTTTTCCTGAGTTGTCTCAATTGATGCTTCAATAGTAGTCTGCCATCATGTGTTTGTCTCAACCTTCTTGGTGTAAAGATCTTGATGGAATTGCTCTCCTTGTTCTTCACTCACATCTCCAAAATTTTCAGGAAACTGGTCAAGATAACTATTTACATAATAAGGTTTTATACTCATTTTACATTCAAGATCACAAAAGGCTTTTAACATTTTTTCAGTTAAATCTGCATAGTTTTTAGCGTTTGCATTAAAATTAACTATTTTTAGATCTACACAAATAATCCAGTTTTGTTCTGGATTTTTAATTAAGTACCATTTTAATGTTATGCCTATACCATTTTGGTCAATAATGTACCAGCTTTTTTTGGTGTTTGAGCTAACTTCCAGTTTCCAAACTCCAATACTGATAAATTTGATTATTGTAGTTAAATTTTGAGCCTCAAAATTTAACTACAATAATAGTTCATGTAATGTAATGTAATGTTAGTTACTAATAAACTTAGTTTGTAAATAATAATTTTGTTTACATTTTTTTTATGTTACATATTTGCCTCAAATTTTGTCGAACTAAAAGGGTTGGCTTATCAACACGGATTCGCTTATTTATTAAAGGTACTATTGAATACTAAAAGAAGTTAATTAGAAAGCATTTGTTATTATGATAAGTTTTTAGTTTACTAAAAACATATCATAATAACAAACGCTTTTTCACATAATTGAAGATTAAAATTTTCAACTTTGTATAAAAGCTTTATAAGTATATGCAGTGGTCCAGGTTAGTGTTTTGGTTCAGAACCCAGCGGTCTGATGTTCGACGCCGGCTTTAGCACAATAAGCAAGATTTAATGAAATATTAGCAAAATTCATTTGGTTATGTGTCTATATATTTTCCAAATGTGGTGGTGTAATAATTTTTTTCACTTTTTTTATTTTAACAAACTTCAACAATCAAGAATACTTTTGTTTTAAAGCTAGGCTTTAGGAGTAAAAAACAATTAACTTACTTTAAAATAGTATGTTACTATTACTTGTATTGTTTAAAAGGTTTTTGCATTTTAAGACTAATCAAGTAAACTAACTTTTCTGATTTTCTTTTAGCTACGGGCAGAATTTTTGATATCTCTCTGCGTAAATCGGGAGGTGTTCATGAATTATTAAACAAGAATAACATGCCCCAGTATAAAATAGCAGAGATCTTTAATGTTTCTTAAAATACGATTAGGAGAAGATTAAAATTTTAGTAAAATAAAAGATAGACTAGGGAGTACCTTTGCACCCTGCTCGTAAAGGAGCTTGAGGTAGAAAAAGAATCACAACCCTTAGAACTGATAATAAAATTCGGAATATGTGATTAGAGAACAGAAAAAATCCAGTAAATCTGCAAACCAAATAAATAAGAAAAAACAACATTGACATTTTTTTTCATTATAATTTTTACAGCTGTACATCTCCTAATAACCATAAGGTTTACAGCTGTATATCTCATAATAACCATAACGTTTACAGCAGTATATCTCATAATAACAATAACGCTTACAACAGTATATCTCATAATAACCATAACTTTTACAGCAGTATATCTCATAATGACGTTTGCTATTAATTCAGTCAAAACTATACTTTTATAAAGATTAATGGCATGTATATTTTAACAAATGTAAATAAATTATAATAAAGTTTTTTCATGGCATATTACAAAGGTAAAAAATAACATTGCTTCTCATTATCTACTAAACTCCCTGAATACGATAACAGGAGCGCTACAGTGGGAGGGTAACCTTGTACTCAGCCATTGAATCATGAGGGGTGCACAACGATTAAAAAAATGTTTTGGCATGTTAGATTGGCATATTAGGGCTTAAAAAAATGTTCTTTGAAAACAGTTTTTAAAGGGTATAAAAAATGATTTATATAGGGTTTTAGGAATTGGTTTAAAGTTACAACTTTGGGGTTAATTGTTGGGTTAGGCATGGTTTTGATGGAGCATCTAGGCGTCTGATGGAACAATGCCTAGTCATGTAAGTGGTGTTTAAGCATTATCAAAAAATATCTGCGGAACAGGTGTATTCTATAAATGATTCTATAAATGATTCTATAAATGATTCTATAAATGATTCTATAAATGATTCTATAAATGATTCTATAAATGATTCTATAAATGATTCTATAAATGATTCTATAAATGATTCTATAAATGATTATATAAACGGATCCCTAATATCATCAATATTTTAAACATAACTCTCAAATAAAATAAAAGTATACAGAAATTTGAAACTATTTAAATTATTATATATACACAGCAATCCTGATTGGCGCCCTTGTTTATCAAATTTTCCCTATATTATATTATAATACGAAGGACCTTTTTTTTTGTATAGGTACGGAACAGACTGTCCCGGTACCCCGCCCCCCTCTCGGCGGCCCTGAGTATCGAGGTATTCAAAAAACGATTACTTTACGTAAATCACGATTTTTGTTCTGATTACTAGTTGATAGTTGGAACAGTTATTAAAAACTTATCCAGTCAACTTTTAAGAGAGTAATCTATTTTGATTACAGCTTACAAAGGTTATAAACTACATTTTAGAATTAACCTTTTTTAACGCCAAGGTACCATTTTGACTTGCCGCAGAAATAATTATATAACAAAGACTGTACTAAGATTTTAAACAATTTTCGGCTTTGTTCTCCTTCCATTCTATTAAACTTTCTTGTTATAATATACTTCATTCTTTCTTCAGGCATTTACTACTAACATGTGACCATTAGACAAACTTATATGTTAAATTAAAAAAATTATATATATTTTTTTGATTAAAGAAAGTTTTTTTTTTTTACAATTTACAAAATATAATTATACTAAAACATACAAACTTATTTTAATTAAAATGGCTTATAAAGTAATGACAAACTACCTTAAAGCGAGCAATTAAGTTTATACGAAATACTATTAAAATATGTTTTAATTTGCAATAAGTTCGCACTTTACCAAGAACCCCCCCAAAAAAATAAAACTTATTTAGCTTAGTCGTTCAACAAAATAACCGGTACTGATTTGATTAACTTAATGATGAGGTACGGCGGTTAACCCACGCAAATTACGCATCTTATAGGTTGAGCATTTGCTCAAACATGTTATAAAGCTAAAGGAACATTAATTAGTAACATTTTGATATGCTTTTATTTTTAACTGCTTTTAAATAAATTATTAACTGCACGCACTTTCGAATCTTCTTTTATTTTCAAATAAATTAATTTTTTTTACAAACCATTGTTATTTTTTAATGTTTATCAATTAAAAAAATTTCTAATGATTATAATATTTTTTAATGTTTATCAATTAAAAAAATTAAAAAAAATTGATAGTGTAAGTAAATTATAATTCACAGTTATAATGAAACTGTCAATTAAAATATGCCTCAACTCTTATTTTGAATGTTATAAACTCTTGATAACCACAAAAGCAACTTGAACTCAATAAATAACGAAATTGACTCGTACAAAATCATATTTTAAAAAGAACAAAATAAATTAAAATATTTAAAAAATATATGATACAAGATAAGTCAAATTTCACAATGTAAAAAAATCTATTGAAAAAAATTACCGTTCATTAAAAAAAAAATTAAATAAAAAAAGAAAAGGTGAGCAACATAAATTTCATCTGAAAATAATATATATAAAAAAATAATATATTTGTATATATATAATATTTATATTTAATTAATAAATAGAAATAATTGAAAAAACACATTTTTGCCTAAATTAATTCTGCCTTACACAAATATGTCTGGAGGACTTAATAAACGTAATGAAAAACAAACTATTATAAATATTAAAAAAAAACAAAAAAAAAACAACAGCAAAAAAAACACTAAGCACTAAGCAACACGGCTTTTTGTTTGCTTGGCAACGTCTGCATCGCAATTTTTCCGATAACTTCTGTCCATCTAAAAGATTTTTACATTAATATCAAATAACTCCAAGAACCACAAAAAAAGTAAGGTATGCCAACCATTATAATTTCTAACGCCATCATCATCATCATCATCATCATCATCATCATCATCATCATCATCATCATCATCATCATCATCATCATCATCATCATCATCATCATCATCATCATCATCATCATCATCATCATCATCATCATCATCATCATCAACATCATCATCATCATCATCATCATCATCATCATCATCATCATCATCATCATCATCATCATCATCATCATCATCATCATTATAATCATCATCATCATCATCATCAAAATCATCAACCACAAAAAAAGTGAGATCATCACCATCATTATCAACATCATTTATCATCATATCATCATCATCCATAATCATCATCATTTATCATTATCATCCATCATTATTTATCATTATCACACACACAAAAGAAACATAGCTTAACCTTTCGTAAGCATAATCTGTCTCGGCTCGAAAATAGTAAATACGAGTTTTAAATTGAAGCTGAAATCCAAGCTCATCATGAAGTTCATTCTATAAATTTTTAAAATACAACATAAGGTAAAAATTAAAAAAAAACTACATAATCACGTAAATTGACTTTATACTTATGTATTTTAATTTTGACTAGAGTACAATACACCGATTGAGCTTTGTAATGTGCCATTATGGAACTCTAAGGTTTGGAAATCCGAGACCCTGCTGGAGGGGTAATAGTTATGACAACAATTTATATCAGCTAATTTAAGAAAACGAAGTATAAACATCTATGAAAAGCTTTCAAATAAAATTTAATCAATTATAAAGTAGACTATACAAACAAAATTTTTATATAAAGATGCCGAAAATTAATTGCACCGTAATAGGTTGTACAAATATAATTGTACATATAAATTGAATAAATGGAAAAAAGAAGTGTGCAATGAACATGAGCAAAATTTAAGCAGAGAGAAATATTCTTTATGTGAAAGGCCATTTTTATTATATAAATTTCTATCAGCAAAGAAGAAAAATAAAGACAGTTAAGGAATAAAGTTTTAAGAAGAGAATCCATAAATAAGACATTATGGAAGCCAAGAGATAGTGATAAGGTATGCTCCATACATTTTGTTGATGGAATTCCTTCAACTGCAAATCGTACGCCTACTTTATGTCTTGGATATGAAATAGAAGCTAAAAAATCTAGAAGAAACTCAATCAAACACTCTATACCATTAAAAAAGCAGAAACATAAAACTTCTGAACAAGTAAATCATTCTAATGATATTTCTGAACAACTAAGTCTAATAATATTTCAACAATTTAGATAAAGAAAATAATTTACCCATAGCAAATGTATCACTACCAATAGCAAATGTATCAGTATCTGATCATTCGTATTGTTCAATACAATCACGTAAAATTTGCAAAGTATGTGTCAACAAGAGCAATTTAATTAAATCACTTATCAGAAAATTGAACATGTTAACATTAAAAAATTAAAGCGTCAAAAGTTATTTTATAGTGCTAAAAGTTCCGTGTTTACATGGAGGAAAATTAAAACTGATGCTAAAATAAACTTGGAACATTAAAAAAATGAAAAATCAAAAAAGAAATGAGTTTTTAATTTTTTAATGCAATTAAGATTAGGACTTATAAAACAAGAATAACCCAACTACAGTTTATATGTATCATTGATAGATTATGATCTCCAACATTCTGATTTAAATATAGAGTAATTACTACCTGATAAACTAAGATACTTAAGAGACTGAAGCCAGGAAGATTTATAGTAACTGTATGCTTTTGAATTTTTATAGTCACTTAAGTCTTTAATTCTGAGTTCTGATTAAATTCTGGGTTAAACATTAAATAATTAAATACATCTGGATATAACAGCATTGGCCATACCTTCTTCATCTATCCAGTCATCAAGAATTTTAAATGGATCAGGTAACTGCATATTATCTAATTTTAGTTTCAAATTATATTCTTTTTGTAAATTTACTTCAACTTCTACTGCTGTTTTTATTGGTAGAACATTGTTTTTCAATGTAGCAAATACACGAGCCACTAGTTCGTCTTTTTTACCATTTAACTTTAATCCCCTTAATTTTTTCAACTTTAATTTTTGAAATCATATCGTATTCCATAATTAATTTTATTATTTCTTAATTAATATTTGCTTTATTTGTTAGTTAGATGTTTATACTTCATTTTCTCAAGTGAATAGCGGTAGTGTCTTTTTACCGCCCCTCCTATTAGAGTCCAGACCTTTTATAAATTTGATGTTTTTAAAATTGGCTCAATCGGTGTATAGAATAAAATTAAACATTTATTATATATCATTATTCTTGTTAATCTTATTTTTAAATTATTTCATGACTATGTGATAATAATTAAACAATAAAAATGATAAAATTAAATTAAAATTTTAATAAATTATTTAACCTTTAAATTTTGCAGATGAATTTGTAAAAAAATTTGTTTAATATACTTGAGATTTTTGAAATCATTATCAAAATTTAAAACAAAAATGTTAATATGTCATTTTTAACCTCCTGTTTTAAATTTTACTTGCCTGTTTTAAATTTTGATAATAATAATGAAAAAACAAACAAATAAGAGAAAAAAACAAACAAAAAAGAGAAAAACAAACAAACAAACAAGAGAAAAACAAACAACAACAAACAACACAAGAACAAAACAAAAACAAACAAACACAAGAACAAAACAAAAACAAACAAACAAGTAGAAAAAAACTACAACAAACAAACAAGATAAAAAACAAAAAACAAACAAACAAGAAGGAAAAAAAATAAAATGTTTTTGAAAAAAATTTACCAGATGTGTAAATACACAACTGGTAGAGTTTTTCAAAAACATTTTTTTTTTCTTTTTTTCTTTTCCTCTTGTTTGTTTTTTGTTTTTTCTATTGTTTGTTTGTTGTTGTTTTTTTCCTCTTGTTTGTTTGTTTTTGTTTTGTTCTTGTGTTTTTATTATTTATCTTAATAAAAATTTTAATTAAAAAAATGTTTAAGACTAGTTTCATCTTAAATATCAAATTTTAAAATCTTCTAATATTAAGTTTTATTATAGAGTGGCGTCCTAATGTTTCCAGCCAGTAACACTTTGTACTCTATATTATTTAAAAAAAATGATTTTTTTAAAATAATATAGAGTTTTTATAGAATTTATAATAATAATATTCATTATTATTATTTAATATTTAAATAATAATAATGAATTTAAAAAATCAGCAATTCCATGACACGAGTTAATGCATTTTTAATCCAGAAAACAAAAGTTTGGTATTTAGATTTTTAAAATAAAAATCAAACTTTATTATAATATTGAAATAGCCTAACTGTATTATAAAAACTAAACTTTTCATATTTTTAAAAAATATTTTTACAGATATAGCTAAAAATACGTGCATCACAACATGACATCAATTTGTGACGCTGTGATGCTCTTAATTGTGCAATAACTAAAATAGATAGTAAAAAATAAAAAATAAATTATCCTAAAGAACATATATTTTTTTACCAAAATAATACAAATTTAAAATATTTTTTAATTGTATTTCCTAGATAAAAGCAAAACATTGAGGCATGTGGAATTGCTGTAATGGTTTTTAATCACAATAGGATGTTAGTATGAAATATAGGAAACAAAATAATATAGTAAAAGAATATTATTCATATTTGTGAAAGTATTTATTATTTTAATTGTTATATTTACAATTGCTAAATTTCCGGCCACATAATATACATTGAAGCAGAAGGATGTTCAAAAACTAATTACAAATAATAACGCGTTAAATGTTTACATTTATTTCATAAAATGTTGTGGAAGTATAAACATGGTTTAGCTTTCATAAAACCAAATTCCTAAGAGAGTCAAAAGATCATTAGCGTAGTGGAAGACTAAGAAATCTAAAAAATAGTCATATCATTAAACACAAGTCAACTGCTGATGTTAAGAAAACTGCTGCCGACAATCAAAGATTGAAAAAAGCATTCCGATCTTTGATTGTCTAATTTCACAAAACTTTTTTATGTGTAAATATAACAATTATAGTAATAAATAAATTCACAAACATTATTTTACAATATTATTTAGTTTCCAATATCATCATAACATCTCATAATGATTAAAAACCATTTGACATTTATTAAAATTAAGTAGAGTAAATAATATTACTGGCCGGAAACTTTTGCATGTCACAGCCCGCCCACAATCATCAAACCCATAAATCATTAAAATCAAAACAGCCCCCAACCATCAAACCACCCACCCAATCTCTTTCATGAAACCAATAAAAATAATCTGTCTATAAAAATATCATCAGTCTATAAAAATGGCATAAGCGCATACAAAAAGTTGTGATAATCATGTGTAACAATTGTCATAATCATAATAATTGTCATAATCATAATAATTGTCATAATCATAAATAAACTGTGATAATCAGGTAAAGAGACTTATCATTCATAATAAACCATATTGAATTAATAGATAAGAATTTCACCTTTTTTCAATTTATTTTATCTAATATTAAATATAATAAAGTGTTATAACTAAATTCATAATACTTTATTTAATGTTAGGTAAAGTGTTGTGGTGCTTTAGGTAAAGTGTTGTTGTGCTTTAGGTAAAGTGTTGTGGTGCTAAACATTGTACATTTTAGATCAAAAACTGACAATAAAAATTTAAACTAATCTCTGTCATCTTGGAAAGACTTACCTCTGATGGTTTACAAAGAGTATAACCAATTACTGGTAAAGTTGTTGTAGGTGCTTCATCCTGTCAAAATAAATTGTGTACTATTTATGAAACTTACTTATAAATCCAACAAAACAATTTCTGCAAAGATAAAATAAACCAACCTCATATGTCTTGAAAAAATACAAACAAAAATTAGTGAATACAACCCATAGTCTTTGCCATTTGTTTGAATTTTTGAGTTTTCTGAGTAAAACACCGCTTAAACTATTCTAAAGAAAAAATATTTTTATATTATGAATGTAAATTATAAATAATGTAAATTACAGTTATAAAAAATATGTGCTATAGAATAAACTAGATTATCTGCATAGTAGAATCTATGGAATAAAATAAGATGCACAATTATAGTTGTTAACTAATAGTCGCAATGACTATTAGTAAAGTATATACTATCATATAAAGTATATACTATTATATAAAGTATATATAAAGTATATACTAACAGTCATAACTACTAATAATTGTATTGAGCTATTTTTGGCTTTTTTTTCTTTAACAGTTTTTAAATAAATAAATAAAAACAAACAAACAAACAATAACCAAATGCTTAAAAATGGCCAATTTAAAACAGCCTGTTTGAGCAGCTTGTTTTAAAAACTATATTTTTAAAATCTTTATCAAAACCACAACCATCATAATAAAATCAAGGATAATATTTGAGTTTAATGTATAGTTAATTGTATGCTCCGATCTAATTGTTCAAATTGTAGAAAAAACATCTTTTTGCTAGAAAAAAGATCAAACACTTATTAAGAAGGGATTTATATGTTCATATAGAATTTAAAAGCACAACTCAAAATATAAAGCTAACATATATCATCTTCAAAATGTTTGCATTGTAAATTTAATTAGAAGGAATACATAGTTAAATTATACTTTATTTTTAAAGTGGGAACTTGTTCTAAAGAACTTGGAACTAAAGACAATAACTCTTCTAGGAAACTTTTTAATCAAATATCATTTTACATAGTAATAAAATTAATTTCTGTGCTGTAATTTAAAAAAATGAAAAAACTAATATTAAGTCTGCATAAAAATCTGGGATGTTGTACATACATACATACATACATACATACATACATACATACATACATACATACATACATACATACATACATACATACATACATACATACATACATACATACATACTGTTGTAGATAATCTCAGATTTTTGTTAAGAATAATTTTATTAGCATTATGACATTACAGGAAGAAATTGAATTTAAATATATAAATGAACAAGAACAACTTTATTTAGAATGATGAAATTGTAACAAGAGTTTATTTTGGAGAGTATTTATCCATGGCACTACTGAATTTATTCTTATTTTTATAGAAAGAGGCTAGGATCCTCTCACCAGTATGGTACCTGTACCAACTGGTCAAAATAATTATAAATGTCATTTATAAGACCAATAAAAAAGAGATTTACACTGACAGTGTGAGAAGTTTTTTCATTTTTTTTTATTGTTGACAATGTTTCTTAAATTTGCAGAAAATCTTGAGTAGATTATATCTGGATACCATATATCAACTTGAATTTGAATTAAAATGTGCATCTTCAGTTTTTTTTTACTCTAGTAAATATGTTCTGTGAACATTTCTTAAAAAATGGTACTTTAAGCGTGTTAGGTTCTTTTGATCATTGGTTCAAGTTATTGCTTAATAATGAGGAGAAGCAATTGCATATAGAAGATTTAAAAAATACTAATTAGTCTTGAACTCATTTGTTTAGATAAAAATCTTCATTCTTTTTATAGGGAATTGTGACTTAGTAGACTTATATTTGATTGGTCTCTTATTACAAATTGGCTCAAAGAACATTATATCTTACTTCAGGGTTATCATAGGATAGGTTTTGATGGAAATAATCCCAGATGGCGCAACTCTGTAAAAAGATATACATGGTTTCTGTTGATTGTTTAAAACTTTCTAAAACAAAAAGAATAACGTTTCATTTTTATAATTCTGTGAAATTAACTATTCTTATTTACTGAAACACCAATTAGAATATTAAGCTTTTATTATTGATTTACTGTTATGAAAAAGTAGTATAATTCTTATATTTTTATTTTCCTGAACCATTTAATTATGGGCTTGTTTGAAGTATGACTTCATTTGCTTTGCCATTTACTTTGAGAAAAAATTAAAGTTTTTTAAAGCATGTAAAACACTATAGCGTTTTTGATTTGGCTTTAATTTAAACATATTCCATGAATTTTAGATAAATGTCTTAATGTTTAGTTATGTCATAAAATTGAACGAACCAAATCTTTGCAGAGCAAAACAAGATTTGATCAACATGCAGTCCACTAAGTAATAACATAATTGTCTTGTGCCAAACTAAAATTTAAATTTTAAAAGCTGAATAAGTAAACTCTTTTTTCAATTTTTTTTTACTTCTGTAACTTGTTTTACTTAATAATCTTAACACAGTTAAAAATATTTTAATTAAGAAATAATTTCTTCGTAAACTTCTGTGAAATATTTGAATTAAGAAATAACTACTTCCTAACTTTCTGTGAAATATTTTTCTACAATTTGAATTTTTGAAATTTTTCCTGTCTTAAACAAAAATAAAATTAAATCTTTATATAAATATAGAAACCTGAATTTAAATCTTTATACAAATATAGAAACCTACATATAAATATAGAAACTTGCATATAAATATAGAAACTTGCATATAAATATAGAAAATTGCATATAAATATAGAAACCTGCATAGAAAGAGTATAGTCATGCATGTTAATGCTCATATTCCTGTGCCAGCATATATGACGAGTAGATTTTGAATAATATCTATCCAAAGATGATTGTTCATTAACTGAAAATGATCCCTCATCATCTGAATCAGTTTCCAACGATAACTTTTGAATTATTGGAAGTGGAGGATAAATTTTCTGCCAGTGCAAAAGGCGTTCACTAGGTGGTATCAGCACTAAAAAAAATATAAAAAAATTTGATAGAAAAATTTTTTAATTTTTTTCATAAAATATATATAAGAAAGAAAAAAAAAAGTATTTACATAGGCTTTCTATTTCATTTTTACATCTCTGACATTTTATATCGTGTACTGCTATGTGAATGTTATTAGATATCTTCATTTTGCACTCACTGCATATATTCTACATGATAAATTACAATTCAAAAAACGAACACTCTAAAATAATTGGCATAACTACATTTTTTTAGATTACTACATTTTTTTAGAAAAAATAGACTACATTTTTTTAGAAAAAATAGAAGACCGTTTAAAACTTATATTTGCATTCATTTATAATTGTAATACTTTATGTTTATTATAATTAGTTATTTAGGGTAAAGAGGGGCATAGGTTGAGCATAGTGAAAAGTTAGACAATTAATAAAAACAATTCCATCACATAACAAAACATTGGGTAGCAACAAATTGAAATGCACTGGAAGTTTTTACTATTTTGGACAATATATATATATATACATACACACACACACACACACACACACACACACACACACACACACACACACACACACACACACACACACACACACACACACACACACATATATATATATATACATACATACACACACACACACACACACACACACACACACACACACACACACACACACACACACACACACACACACACACACACACATATATATATATATATATATATATATATATATATATATATATAATATATATATATATTTATATATATGCTACATTTCTCTTAGGTGGTTATAAAACTTTTTACTGGCATCATTTAAGCTTTGATAATTTATCCATTACTTTTATCCACTCATTTGATTTTTAATAAGAACTATTTTTTTCCAAAATCCCTTTGTATCATAACTTATGTATCAACTTGTCTAGTCAACTTATGTATCACCTTATCAAGGTAAGATGAGCCTTTTTTTTTAAAAAAAACTTAACTATCCAAAAGTAAAAAACAGATTTTCCATTTTATTTTATTTACTAGGAAAGATGTCTAATAAAACATTTACTCAACCATTCAATAGGTTTAACTTAACCATATTCATTAAAATATCTAAGCAGTTTTTTTATTACTGTTGGGTTTTGATGAGTTTTTTTAGACATTCTTTGTAGTGAAACTGTATGTAGTAAAGATAGTAAGTACAGGAATTTATCTATTTCCTAAAAATTAGATGAACATCCAACAGCATGAGATTTGTAAACCAAATTAAATATACAGCTTTCTACTATACTATTGTAGCTAATTAGAAAATACTGTCAAACTTTTTTTTTAATTATCTTCGCTTCCAACAAGGTTGCAAGCAACCACTAATTAGTGTTGGAAGTTACTGGAAGAGAAAAGATGAAGATTGTAGAGCAAGATAACGATTGACAGACGACTTAAAATATTGCAAATTATATGAATCAGGAAAGCAAGATGAAGGAAGCGAATTCCAAAGAACTGATGTTTGAGAAAAAAAACTAGGCGAATAAGAATTATTGGAGCACTTAGGAACAGTAACAGAAAAAGGATGAGACTTAATTGAATGACGAGTAACATGAGAATGAATTTTAGTAGATGGCACAAGAGATGCTAGCTCTTTAGAGCAGTGCCCATTATAGTATTTGTAGAAAAGAGAAAGAGAAGCAACATTACGACGATGTGACAGAGGTTGAAGGTTGGCTGCAAGAGCAGGTCCAACTATGTTTACAATGTGTTTTTGCACCTTGTCTAAAAGAGAAAAGGCATCATTAGAAGATTCGCCCCAGATATGGCAACAGTATTACATACAAGGCCGGATTTGAGATTTATAGAGATAGAAAATAGAATCCAGAGTAAGAAAGTGAGGAGCTCGATAAAGAGAAGCAACTTTAGCAGATGCTAATTTTGCAACGGATTTGATATAAGGTTTCCAAGAAAGATCAGAAGTAAGAGTTAATCCTAGAAGATGAAGGGTAGGAGACTCATCGAGTTCATTACCGTTCATAAATATAGGAAGGTCTAAATTATTGCCATAACGATTGGCCGAAAAAAATTGAGTTTTATCTGAATTAAAGTTCACCAGCCACTGCGAGCCCCATGCTGTAGCAGAAGTGAGATCCTTTTCGAGCTCAGATGTCCCCTGCAAGCAATCAGAGGGAGTTGGCTTCTTATCGTGACAAGAATAAATGGTAGTATCATCAGCGAACAATGCCACCTTAGATGTGAGAATATCTGGAAGATCGTTAATGTAAATTAAAAAGAGTATAGGGCTAAGGATTGAACCTTGGGGAACCCCTGAGGTTACAGAATAAGAAGAAGAGTGCTGTCCATCAAGGACAACTTTTATACTACGATTGGAAAGGAAGGATTCAATAATCTTAAAGATGTTTCCAGATACACCATAAGAAGAAAGCTTATGGAGAAGACCAGCATGCCAAAATTTATCAAATGCTTTAGAAATGTCAAGAGCAATGTCCTTAACCTCTCCACCTTTATCTAATGCGCGATAAAACCTATCGGTTATTACTGATAGCAAATCAGCCGTAGAACGAGAAGATCGAAATCCATTCTGATGATCAGAAAGTAGGTTATGAGATTCGAGATGAGAGATTAAGTGTTTGCTAATTAAAGATTCAAAAACCTTGCTTATGATAGGAAGAAGACTAATGGGACGGTAGTTAGATGAGTCAGATCGCTCTCCAGAATTTTTAAAAATAGAAATAACAGATGCTGCTTTCCAGCAGGCTGGAAAACAAGACTCTGATAAGCACTTGTTGAATAGTTTTGAAAAGATAGACGACAGCTCAGGAGAACACTTCTGCAAGACTATAACAGGTATGTTGTCCGGGCCGCAAGCTGTAGAAGAGTCTAAGCGGGAAATCACTTTAGATACAGAAGCTGGAGTGATACGAATGTCGAGCAATGGATCAACCTCTTTGACGGGTATATCAGGTAAAACGTAACTAGTGGCATCAAGAGATGATATTGATGAAAAGTTCTTGGCAAACAATTCAGCTTTGTCTTTAGGTGAGGTGACAAAGTCTGAACCGTACAAAAAAGGTGGAATTACAGATTTGCCCTTATTATTGATACTGTTAAAAATTCTCCAGAAGTCACGAGAGCCTAATTTTTGTGATGAAATACGAGATTTCATGATCTGAGAATAGCGGGTTTTGGAGTTAGACAAAACCTTTTTACAATGGTTTCTAGCAGTAATAAAGAGACATCTGTTTTCTGGAGAATTGTTTTGCTAATAGATATGGAAGTAATGGTTTCGATTGGCAATTGCAGCAGCACAATGTGAGGAAAACCATGGAGAAGAGTGAGGCTTGACCTAGAATCGTCGAGAGGGAATAAAGGATTCCATGCCAGCCTGAATCCACAAAGTTATGTAAGAAGCACATTTGTCAACAGGGAGACGAAAGATTTCTACCCAGGGGCCATCACGAAGAAAGTCACGAAAAGAGTCCCAGTCAGCTTTAAGGTAGTTGTAAGATGTACGATGATAGGGGGATTCTAATGGTAAAGAAGAATGAGATAATAGTTTTAGAGAGACCAAACCATGATCAGACGCACCTAAGGGTGAGTGTGAAGAAACTGAACACTGACTAGGATCAGAAACAAGACATGTCGAGTAGAGAAGGCAAATGATTACGGTTGTCTGGAAAGCGAGTTGGAAAGTTGACTATTTGAGTTAGGGATTGAGAAAGACAAAAGTAGTGGGCCTTAATGCCTGCAGAGTCACTGACACTAGAGCCAAGCCATTCAGTGTGATGAACATTAAAGTCACCGACAACAACAATATTGGCTGATGGATAAAGAATGAGGGTTTGGTCAATATAATCAGAAATAACATCAAGAAGAGTGCAGTCTTGAGATGAGGGAGAGCGATATAGAACAAAGAGAAAGGTGATAGAGTGAAGTGGTGCTAAACGAAAGCACATAAAAGAGTAGTCTGTGGATTCAAACCTAGTTTCCCGACAAATGGGTGAATTCTTATGAATGTAAATGCCCAGGCCAAGCATGTGACTATTGAAGTCTTTACGAATTAAAGGAAGATAACCATCAACACTAAGATCACAAGATGAGACAGCTGAACTCAAATTAGTCTCACAAAGAGCAAGCAGTTCTGGTGAATTTTGCAAGAGATAAGACTCAGCAGAAGAAAAGTTACTTCGAAGAACACGAATATTGGTGAATGATAAGTTTCGCGAACTTGGTGATGACTGTGGTTTTTTGTGTTTTATAGTTTTTGTTACTTTATTCATTTTTAAATTTGTTAAAGAACTTGACTCTAAACATTGATAGTACTCAGTACACTGTTCTATAGCTCAAGCAATTGCCTCATTTCCACTAATAAACCCTAAGCCGTAACAAAGGGCTCCAATGTGGCCTTGGCAATGCACACCAAAAGTACAAACAGGGACACCATCCATGCGCAACATGGCACTGTTAGTACTCTGATATTTTTCAGCTGTTGATGGAATCAGCCTCTCTGAGAGCTACCACAGAGTTCGGGAAACAGAGACACAAGCAAAACCCATGAATCGAGTCAAGAAGATCCAGCGTTCAACATCCTAAACTGGAATCAATGTATTAAAAATACATCTGCGCCAGCCTAATAGATGACGAAGGGGTGCGAGGCTGGTCAAAAGATAGAATCTGTTTACCCCTTAAGTCTTTGCCTAGGAGGCCTTCTACAAGACAGCAGCCGGATGCATGTAACATCTGCCCAAGATGAGTATTTTTATCGAGACACCATCTCTAGCCTTTACTCAACCAAGAGTCCCAAGGCAGGGGGTGTTTTATGTCGGAGTTTGCATCTCCTAGCCTTTGCCTAAAAAGGCATATCCTACAAGGCAGCAGGACATGAAGCAGATTGTACTGGGTTACATGTTACCAGTAGCAGGATTAAACCCAACCAGTAGCAGGATTAAACCCAACCAGTAGCAGGATTAAACCCAACAAATAAAGTTCACTTCATGAAGTAAGTCCAATACTTATTTACACATAAACTTCTCATTTCTATTTATTTTTGTCAACATTAAACTTTTTTCACATGTTTTTTTTTTTTTAGTTTCATCTAATAATAATGGATATCTCTAATTACAAATGACAGATATAGATATGTTTCCAAATGACATAGACATAGATATGTTTCCAAATGACATAGATATAGATATGTTTCCAAATGACATAGATATAGATATGTTTCCAAATGACATAGATATAGATATGTTTCAAATTTTTCTAATAAAATTAAACAGAAATATGTTCAAGTTTATTTCATCAAAAAAAATTTTCATAGTAAAAATGTCCATAACTTATTTAAAACTTGATTGAAGCAAAAAAGCTCTGGCATTCTATTTTTTTCTAAAAAATGCAGAATATTCAATATTGCTTATTTAAGGTAGACCATTGTTTAAAACAATTTTTTATTTGTAAAAAGTATATTAAACCTTAAGTCGATCTCTTTGTATAGCATCATTTAAATCTTCCATCCATTTTTGTCGTTCTTCTGGAGATTTTGCAGCAACTACAAATGAACTTTCTCCTTGCATTGTTAAGGTAAAAGCATATAAACCATGCCATTCAATCCCATCTTCTTCTATCTTTAAAAAAAATTCTTAATAAAAAATGCTTCCTAATTCATTATATATAATTTTAAATTTCCAAAAGAAAACTCTTGTTTAGATATTTATATTGTTACTAACAGATAACATTATGGATTATACTATTTTGAAAGATTCATAATCATGGATTATACTTTTTTGTTTAGAATTTATCATTTTACAACTTATAATTCAATGATATATAACTTTTCTCTTACTTTAAGCATCCATAAAGGAATCAAACTTCTCGCTTTAAAATGATTTGATGCAGTTAAACCTTGACTTGTATACAATAGAATGTCAGATAACTATAATAGAATGTCAGATAACTATAATAGAATGTCAGATAACAATAATAGAATGTAAGATAACAATAATAGAATGTCAGATAATAATAACAGAATGTCAGATAACAATAATAGAATGTCAGATAACTATAATAGAATGTCAGATAATAATAATAGAATGTAAGATAACAATAATAAAATATCAAATAATAATAATAGAATGTCAGATAACAATAATAGAATGTCAGATAACAATAATAGAATGTCAGATAACTATACTAGAATGTCAGATAACTATAATAGAATGTCAGATAACTATAATAGAATGTAAGATAACTATAACAGGATGTCAGATAACTATAATAGAATGTAAGATAATAATAATAGAATGTCATATAATAATAATAGAATGTCAGATAACAATTATAGAATGTCAGATAACTATACTAGAATGTCAGATAACTATAATAGAATGTCAGATAACTTTAATAGAATGTCAGATAACTATAATAGAATGTCAGATAACTATAATAGAATGTCAGATAACTATAATAGAATGTAAGATAATAATAATAGAATGTAAGATAATAATAATAGAATGTAAGATAATAATAATAGAATGTCAGATAATAATAATAATAATAATAGAATGTCAGATAACAATTATAAAATGTCAGATAACAATAATAGAATGTCAGATAACAATAATAGAATGTCAGATAACTATACTAGAATGTCAGATAACTATAATAGAATGTCAGATAACTATAATAGAATGTAAGATAACTATAATAGAATGTCAGATAACTATAATAGAATGTCAGATAACAATAATAGAATGTCAGGTAAATATAATGATAAACTTATTATTGAAAACGAATCAAAAACATATTTAAAGTTAAATATAGCATTACCAGAAAAAACATTCTTGGCTGGGGACCTTTGCGACATATCTTATAAAGGCAACCTTCCCGAATGAATATCTAAAATTTATAAAAAAATTTCTTATCATAACATAATGGAATTCAAATCAAAAAAAAATTCTAGGTGTTTTTGTTTTATTTTATAAATTAAAAAAAAAAAAGTATTTTAATTTCAACTTACCCTCTCAGAACAAACTAAGCCATCAATACCAACTAAATCGTTTTCAAGTTCAATTAATTTATGCATATTTGTCTATAAATAGGTGAAAACACCAAAATAGAAATTGATTACCAAAAAAAAAAAAAAAAAAAAATAACAAAAAACTATTCTATTATCAAATTTTAAATAAATTACAACACAATAAAAATTTGTAACAAACATTAAATACTCAGGTTGTCAATGGTTTTATACGTTTTTAAACTTGTTTAGTTATATTTGTTAATAGTTTCTAATAAATATAAACTAATAAATATAAACTAATAAACTACAAGTAATAAGTAATCTAAAGTAAATAAAAAAAAAAGATTTAAAACATTAAAAAACTGCAATAAAAATACTAGTTTAGCTATAAAGCTAAGTACTACAAATGATATTAAAACATTTAATACAAAGAAGAAAACTAGTCAGAAAGCTAAAAACAACTAAAGCAAATATAAAATTGTAGAGAAGCTAATTAGGAAATTTATCAATTTAAAAATATTTCTAATTTTTATATATTATTAATTTTCAAAAGATATTTTTATTTTTTGCACTAAAATAATACTTTTGCAATAAATATAAAAAAAAGTAGACAAAACTAAAAAAAAATAATAATAAATAAAAAAGTACAAAATTTATCAAACTATTAAAAAAAAGAGACTTACTAAACTATTAAAACACTTTTCAATTCGATTGTTAGTAAAAACAACTTCTTCATAAGCAACTTTAATATCAATAGCATCAGGATAATATGTTCCATATTCCTTGGTGAGACCTAATTAATACCATTCAGACAAAGAATAATGTAAACATCATTCAAAAATATAATAATTTATATTAGTTGTTCATATCAAATAACAAAAGTGACTTAAATCTGTTTTTGAATAAGGATGGAACAAAATCTGAAGCAACCCACAAACTTGCATAGCAAACCTACTTCTTAGTCATGTTAAGGTTTGCCTTAGATAAATTTCGGTTATATATGAATTAATCAAACTTAATGATTTAAATGGTGTTTGTGCTAGATGATTACACATTTCATCAAATGTCAATTCTTAGATGTTGCAAGGCTCAAATTAAGTGATTGCGAATTGCAATATCTGGTAATATTTCTGGTCGTTAAATTCTCAGTTTGTTTAAAATCGTGAACTAATGAAGTTTAATGACATTGAATTTATCATTTTGCAAAAATTAATGAAAAAAAAAAAAACAATAAATTTATGACTGCAAAAATAAGTCAAAATTTACATATTTTTAATTATTATTTTTTTTAAACACCAGGTAATTTAAAGATTATAAATAAATAAAAAATTATAAGAAAAAAAAAAAAAAAAATTACTAAAGGTTCAAAAAATGTGCATGGTAATTAAGCCATTTGCACATTGTATGAAACATCAAAATCAATTTTTGTTTAGAGGGAAAGTTTGAGGAAATATTTATTCTAAAATTTAAATGTTTTAAATTAGAAATTAATTAATTGATAATAAAAATAAAAATAAAAAAGATAAATTTTAAAATAAACCATTAGAGCTTTTTTGTTTTATTTAAAATAACTATAAAAGGTTTAAATTAGTTTTTATATATTTTTAAACTCCTCTGTCTTTAATTTTTGTTTTTAATTTTGTATACATATCTGCAAAAGAGGTACGAGCAATTAATTTATAATAAAATGTTGATTTAAATAAGATTACTGATTTAAATAAGATATAAAAGTATTTTATATCTTATCTTACAATTTCTTTTACTTAAAACATTTGATCACAGCTTAAATTCTTTCAGACTAATGTGATTAGCGGTTGTTTTTTAATAGCATTTGTTTTTTTTAGTTTGATGATTATAATTGGAATTAAAATATTAAATTTTAAATCATAATTTTTAATTATAATAAAAATAATAGTAATATATGGTTTTATAATAAGATTTTATATTCTAATTCATGATAAATATTATTTATTATTTAACAGCTATTGAGTGATGAAAACAGAGTTTATAGTTTTTTAAAAAGCTAAAATCTTAATGACCCGAAGCATTTCCAGATATCTCAATTCGCGATCACTTAATTCGAACCCTGTGTTGAGACAATTTTACATAAAAGAAAAACAAAATTATGTAATAATAAAAATTATGTAATAAAGCTTTTTTTAAATCCTGTCGTCATATTAATTTTGTTCCCCGAGTCGTCAACGAACGATACGAGCACTAGCTGCAACAGGCAGGGATGCAGCAATTTTAGATGACACAGCAAATGGATTGGTAACTATTGCACATTTAATGGCATTGTCATCATGTCGGCTGGTCTATCTGTGCCTTCCTGAGCCTCTTCTGCGGTTGCTACTACTCATTTCTTTGAACTTCTTTACAATATGACCCAATGTAGATTTGTAACATGCTATCATTTGCATAGGCAATAACAACAGATGCTTTTCTTAGAGTAATGTCTTTTTTATTTTATCCATTTAAATGTAAATAAACTAATAAACAATAATACTGACTAGAATAGAGTTCAATAGAATATACAATAAGTGACACAAAAAATGATAAAAAGTATAAATATGCAAAAAAAGGAGAGCGAAAATAAATGTTCATTCTCCTTAGAAACAGTATGTACTTATACAGTATGTTTTCAAACTGTATGCATGTACAAACAGTATGTTTTCAAACAGTAACTGTTCATTCTCCTTAAAAACAGTATATCGGTGACTTACACATGATAATTATTTATCTGCCAAGGTCTAAAATGAGTAGAATAATAAAAGAATAAGACAAGACTATAAAAACTAAGTTTTTATTGTCGTCTCTACTTTTTTGACCATGACTGTAGTTTATGAATTATCTATTTAATAGAACTCATATAGAAAGATGGATTATCTACTTAATAAGGAAAAAATTGAAACACTAAATCAACTTCTGAATCTATTATAAGTGATGTACGACCTCAGACCGCTCCTTATTACTACTTTTATTCTATAAGTTAGGTAAATGCAAGATAAAGTTGGAGAAGACCTCAAAACTATAAACATTAATGGTTTTAGTTGCATTTTATTTGATGGTAGTAAAAATGGCACTAAAATCTTTAAAGTAAAAAAAATTCATTGGTCTAGTTAAAGAAGAACATTATACTGTGTGCAGCGAACTTGATGGAAGTTTCTGGTTAAAGAAGAACATTATACTATGTGCAGTGAACTTGATAGAAATTTCTGGTTAAAGAAGAACATTATACTGTGTGCAATGAACTTGATGGAAATGATCTTTAGCATTTTGTTCCTGAAGAATCTTTCTTTTAAAAACTCACAGAGATAATTGAAGAACATTGAATGGCTTGAAGAAAAATACTTGCATTTAATATTGGTATGCTCACCCCGAACCAGATTTGCAAAGTATGCTCTGCAGTCTAATTGAAGATGAAAATAGCTGTTGATAAAATAGCTAAGTTTAGTGGAGCATGGAAATGATCCACTTTAATTTGGAGATTTAAAAAACTTCAACCATCTTCAGAATTAACCAATTTGTCTAAACTTAAAGAGAACAGTGATACTACAAAACCACCTTTCCAAATGTACTAACTGAAACAGTTAAAGAACTGATTATTAGTCAAATGATAGTAAATTGGTCCTCCTATATATAATCTGTAGAAAGATGTGTAAAAATTACATTAAAAGTGGTTGTCTTTAGTTATCAGACTGGAACCAGATTAAAAAACTTTAACCAAGAAAAAAACTTATGACTGATACAAAGACTGAAAATACAAACATATAAACTTATGACTGATATAATACAAACTGATGACAAAAAATAACAAAGAAAAAGATAAACTTATAAAAAAAAAATATTCTTGAGAAATAAAAAAAATTACTGCCATATTGTGGAATCACACAAACATTAAACCAATAAGGATGTTGATTATGATAACAAAGATCATGATAACAATAATGATGAAGAGGATGATACTGATGAAGATGATGATGAAGAGGAGGATGATAATAAAGAGGAGGATGATGATGTTGATGATGATGATGATGTAAATGTCATTCCAACATAACAAATAAAAAAAATAAAGCATAAATTTATAATTTAATTTCATAATAAATAACACCCAATATAAAACTTACGTTCCAAAATATCTTTGTAGTACAACAACCTTTGTACTGGTTTCATTAAAAACGAGTTTATGGACAAGTAGCACATTTTTGTAAGCTAAAAATTACAAATCTAATAAATTATTAGGTCAATATAGAAAAAGTTTTTTATTTAAAAGATTTTAAAAAAATCAAGAGCTAAAAGTTAAAGCATTTATTTAAGCAATTTGAGATTTTTTAATTTTATAAATTAAACAATTATTTTAATTTAAACCTCTAACAGTAAAACCTAAAAAACTCCAATCAAATGATCGTACCTTTGTAAATTAAACACATTTTTATTCTTAATACCACATGTGCATACTACTTGTCAAAAAAGCAGTTTTTTCACTTGTCAAACAAGTAGCTTTTTAGTGAACTTGCCAAACAAATATCTTTTTAGTGAATTTGTCAAGCAGTTTCTTAGAGAACTTGCCAAACAAGTAGTTTCTTAGAGAACTTGCCAAACAAGTAGTTTCTTAGTGAACTTGTCAACCAAGAAGTTTCTCAGTGAACTTGCCAAAGAAGTAGCTTTTAAATGAGCTGTCTTAGTGAACAATAGAAACTTCTTACTTATCATTAATTTCATAAGATTTCAAAAAAACTAGTAAAAAGCTTACTAAATTTATTACTACAATTTTTATAAACACTTAGTCTTAGTATTGTTTTTAGTATTGATTTTTTTTATTAAAATTCACTTTTTAGTAAAATGCTAAGAGTTATATTTTTTTGTGGTGATTGTTAACAAAAATGCAAAATAAGATAAAACAAAATTTTAGTTATTTTTGCTTTAAAAGATTTTTATGTTCTTGATTTTTATAGCATTTATTTTCTGATACAGTTTAAAAAATTTTTAAAAACAAATAAATAATTTTTTTTTAATTCAAACTTTTTTTCTTAACTTTTAAAATTAAAAAAAAAAAAACTTTTTAAATGTAAAAAATAGTTTTTAGTTTTTTCAAAATATGAATTATTATGGTACACAATAATGTATTTAATCATTGTGTACCATAATAATGCAATTATTGTAGTACATCCTTTGTTTATCTATAATGTACTATTATAGATTCTCTATTTATTGCAATATATCCTTTATTTATTGTGATAAACTTTTTATTTATTGCATAACACACGTTTTTAATGTTACAACTTTTATTTATTGCATTTCACTCTTTAAAAAAATTATTATGAAAACAATATGGTATTTTAAAGTGTCTTAAATTATCCGACCAAACAAGTTTTTCACAAAAAAAAATGTTTACGCTCTAAATTATACTAAAAAAAATGAATAGCGATACTTCCTTTGTCTGTCATATAATTCTATTGGGAATAGTATGTTATTTAGCGTCATATTTTTTGATTCATGCTTCAGTTGGTTTATTATTTATCCTAAAAAGAACTTAGTATTGAATAGGCTTGTAAAAAAATTATCCAACCAAGCGATATTTAGGTTTAATTAACTTTATGTGAAATTTGTTGGAATATTTTAGCAAATTTTTATACAATTAATGAAATTGCAAAACAAAAAACTGTTTTTTTGAGTAAAAAAAAAAGTTTTGTATAAAAAAAAGGTTTCATGTTTTTTTAAGTAAAATAGTTGGAGATAAAGGTCACTGGACTGTTTCTCAGAGAAATTTAGCTGTCGATCTAGTCAATCAGGGTAAAACCTATCGTCAGGTGCAGCAAGAGACTGGAATTCCTCATAATACAGTAACTGACATAATAAAGAAGTATAATTTGATCGGAACAACAGCCACAAAAGAAGGACAGGGTCGCAAAAAAAAGACTTCTAAGAGTTTTGATAGAAACTTAATTATACAAGTCAAGAAAAATTGCTTCATTTCTGCTCAAAAACTGGCTGAGCAAGCTGAAGAGAATTATGGAATCAAATTATCCCACCAGACAATCAGAAATCGTATCCGAGACCAGGGATTTCAAGGACGACTTGTGCGTAATAAACCATATTTGAGTAAGAAACACATGAAAAGAAGATTGGAGTTTGCTAAGAAGTTCAAAAACATGCCATTAAGTTTCTGGAAAAAGATCCTGTGGAGTGAAGAATCAAAACTCAACTTAAAGTCATCTGATGGAGCCCAAAAAATTTGGAGAAAAGCCAGAGAAGCCTACAAATTAAGCTGCATGAGAGGAACTGTCAAGTATGGTGGCGGAAACGTGATGGTATGGGATTCAATGGCTCGGAAGGGTGTCGGAAAACTCCAATTTATTGATACTATAATGGATCAGGTGCAATACAGAAACATTTTGAAGCAAAATTTGAAGTCATCTGCTTGAAAACTTCGGCTAGGATCTGATTTTACATTTCAGCAAGATAACGATCCCAAGCATAGTGCCACTAAAACCAAGGAGTAGTTTACTGAAAATTATGTTGAGGTCTTGGAATGGCCCGCACAATCACCGGACCTTAACCGCATTGAACATTTGTGGGAAGTTTTAGACCGAAAAATTGGAGATCATTTTCAAAAAAAGATAACCTCAAAGTGGCAATTAAAGAAGCCTGGAAAAGATTCAACCAGAACAAGCAAAATCTTTAGTCAAATCAATGCCTAGACATCTAAAAGCTGTAATCCAAGCAAAGGGAGGTCCTACAAAGTATTAAAATAATTGTTTTGTTATTCAATAATTTATTATGGAACAAAAAATATGTTTGGTCGAATATTTTTATGGCAATAAAAAAACGACCTAAATTCCTTTATTTTAAGACTGAAAACTTTGTGATTCATATTTTACACTAAAATAAATAAAATCTATTTAAAAACATTTTTTATTTTTATTAATCTTGAGTTTACCAAAAAAAGTCAAAATTTACAAAAATACAGCACCTTTTTTAGGAAAAATATTTTTAAAAACGTTTGGTCTGATAATTTTTTGAGACACTGTATATGAGTACTAATAAATTTTAGTATATATAACTCAGTCTTCTTTAAAGTATAAAAAATAATCTAAAAAAAACAACCTCAAATTCTTTATATGCTTTGTCAAATTCTTTTGAATTCCTAATATGTTCTTCAAGAGCAAGCATAATATTTCCATACATTTCAATATGATTTTCGTAAATTTTAATTTGTCTCATATTTTTATGTAAAATATCTCCAATTTTTTGTATCATTTCGTGAGAAACATCATTTGTCAACAAACCTTCCCTAAACAATTGAATATTTTTTTTACTGCCCATATCTAAAGTTATACTTTAGAAATAACATATCTAAAGTTTTAATATATACACTTTAGAAATAACATAAAAATAACATAAAAATCTTTTTTGCTTTTTAAATTTATTTATAAGTTATGAGTACCACACAATCCATTTTTTTATTTTTAATAGTAACTAAAAATTAAAAGCTAAAAACAATTAGATATCAAAAGATTTTTAAATTAATTATTTTAAATATTACTTACCATAACAACATACTTTCTTCTAGCTCAGCAAGTAATGAACAATGAAAGTCATAAAGTGGGTCAATATTGTCAAAAATTAAGTTTAAAACTTTGGTAGGAAGATGGCGTTCAACTACATTACGAAAAGAAATAGTTAAAACCTCAAGGTCTTTCACATAAGTTCGCTCAGTAAGTAATATTTCTTTGGCAATATTGTAGATTCTCCAAGAATTTTTAACCTTGTATAGGTCACGTAGGCAATCTCTTTTATGCATACTACTAACACTGCTTGAAGTACTGCGAGGGAGAGATAAATCATCTTCAAAAGCACTTTCTTCTTCTTCAACTGTTAGCGCAGATGCATCTGAATCCGAATCATAGTTGACATTCTTTGGATTTTGTTGAATATAAAGATCTACGCATAAATAACAAAAGTATAAATCGAAGTATATAATATATACAAAAATATGAAATATAAATAAAATGTAATAAAAAATTCTTTTAAAATAAAAGTTTTCTTTTTTATAATAAAGTTGCGTTTTACATTAAAGTTGTGTTTATTTGGTGTTGTCTTTATGTTAATGTCCTTATAATAATTAATAATAAATAACAATAATGTGGGATGTACATTTTAGTTAAGTATATAATAAATAATAATAATTAACATATATTTATACATAGGCGTTAAATATATATTTAACGCCTATGTATAAATATATAGGCATTAAATATATATATATATATATATATATATATATATATATATATATATATATATAAATACTTTACTACAGGTGTATATATATATATATATATATATATATACCTATAGTAAAGGCATTAAATATACAGTTTGTGATAAAAAAACAGTAGTTAGCTTGTCTTTAGTATAAGATAGGCGATGTAGCAGCACTCAGCGCATGTTTTACCGTAGAAAAATAAAAACATTCACAATGTTTTTATTTTTAAAAGATAAAATAAAAACATTCAAAATGTTTTTATTTTATCTTTTAAAAATGTGTGTGTATATATATATATATAAATACAAAATCTAATACAAAAACACTAGGTTTAAGCTTTTTTTGGATAAAAAATTTTTTAAGGGGTTCCCAAGACCCTTAAATATTTAATGGGTCCCTAATATTTTCAGATTGACATATCTTTGAAAAAAATTTTTTCAAAGATATGTCAATCTGTTACTCAAATGAAGCGAAATTATATAAAAATTTCAAAATAATATTCATTTTGAAAAAAAATTGTTATTTTTGGTTTTATTACATAGAAAAATGCATTTTTTATGTTTAAAATGTTTAAAAAAATGTATTTTTTATGTTTTTTTATGATAACTTTAATAAATAAGTTAAAATTTTTTCAAAATGAATATTATTTTCGAAATTTTTATATAATTTTGCTTCGTTTGAGTACCAGGTTGACATGTTTTTGAAAAACTTTTTGAAAATATTAGGGACCCATTGAATATTCAAGATTCTTGGGAACCCCTTAAAATATTTTTTATTCAAAAAAAATGTAAACCTAGTGTTTTTGTATTAGATAGAACACATTTAGGGGGTGGGAGCAGGTTTTTCTAAAAAAGTTTTTTTAAAAGCCACCCTAATATATATATATATATATATATATATATATATATATATATATATATATATATATATATATATATATATATATATATATATATATATATATATATATATATATATATATATATATATATATATATATAAATATATCAGGGTTCGAATTAAGCTTATCGCGATGGCAAATCGCGATTGCTTTTTACATTTTCGCGATTAGTTTTTTCTTAAAACATATATTTTTGCGATTTTTTACTTTTTTAGTTGTTTATTTACTATTTTTCTAATTAAGCTTTTTTTTTTTGGCAATTCTCAAAAGTAAGGTTTTTATAATAAAGTACGTCACGCGAAGTTTGTCTTTTGAATAGAAGCATGATCATTAGCTTTTGAATAGAGCATGATCATTTGCACTTTAGCGGGGAGATTTTTATTCAACGTAAAGAACTTTTTAATCTAAACTATTTAAATCTCTGCGTAGAAGCAAATTAAAAAGATAAAAGTTAAAAAGAATTCTATTTTTTTAAAAGAAATGTTGCTCCAAATTAATTTAATAATAATGATTTAAATTATTATTTTATAAACAATTTTATATAATTATTTTTACTACTTTAAGTATAAAAAAATATATATAAATTTGTTTTTATTAAATCAAAATTTCTATTAGTAAAATTGTGCTAAAAGAAACCAGCAACTTTTTTGCTTTCACGTTTTTCGCTTTAACGACCTTGAAACTATTGAAGTTATATTTAGTTAACTTTACTGAATGGATAGAGTATATAACCTAAATCAAAACAACCAGTTAAGTTAAGATAGTAACTTCAGTTATTCAAGTATTAATTTAACAATTATATTAATTTATTTAATATACTAGCAAAAGTTAGCCATAGATGTGTTTTAATTTAGATCTCACATGTTGTTAACACATATTATAAGCTTTTAACTAATAATTATTTTAACAAAAATTGTCGAATAGAATATGAAAACCATTCATATTCTATTCAACACCGACACCATTCTTTTATATTTTCATTTTTTTTATAGCAACATCTAGACTAAACATTTTCTATAAATATGCAATTGGTTTCAGGAATTTTATTTAAAAAGAAATCAATTTAACAAGAGAACTTTAGCCTTAAAATTCACTTATTCAAATAATTTTGTGATTGAAATTTGAAAAAAAAATTTAAAAATTTAAAAGTTTGATGAAACAAGGGAGAAAAGAAGAAAGTTTTTTTTTCTTAAATCGTAATTTTTTTTAACGCTTTGAATTATATATTTTTTCTTGAAAATAGTTTTAAAAGTAGAAACATTCTATTGCAAACATCAAAAGCAGTGATTGCAAATTGCAAAAATAAAAATTATAAAAAATTTAAATAAATTATTTTACTTCTGTTCGAAAATTTTTTTTTCTAAAAAAATAATTTAAGCATACTCTTATATACTCTTAATATATTAATATAATTCGATTTATTAAACAAAATTTTTTGTTTCACATTTTTTTGGAAAACAATAAGAATAAAAAAAAATTGAATGAAAACATCAGTTTAAAAACCATTTGAATGAAAAACTTAATATATATATATATATATATATATATATATATATATATATATATATATATATATATATATATATATATATATATATATATATATATATATATATATATATATATATATATATACATATATATATATATATATATATATATATATATATATATATATATATATATATATATATATATATATATATATATATATATATATATATATATCTATATATATATACATATATATATATATATATATATATATATATATATATATATATATATATATATATATATATATATATATATATATATATATATATAATTTTCTTATTTTTAGTATAATTTCTTATTTAGTGCTGAGAAGAAGTATGAATGTGTCTTGAGAAAAACTATGAATGCTGGGGGCTTCACTACATACATCGAGTATCTTATAGGCTGTTGCATTTCATCAACTGAGAATTTAGGCATAGATAGCAATCTTTTCTTTTATTATTATTCATTTTTTTCTTCTTTTCTAAAAATGCTGCATGCTGTAAAGGTGGGAAAAACTAGTAACAATTTGTTATCTATATACGCTATAATATATATATATATATATATATATATATATATATATATATATATATATATATATATATATATATATTTATATATATATATATATACATATATATATATATATATATATATATATATATATATATATATATATATATATATATATATATATATATATATATATATATATATATATAGACACACACACATGTATACAACACACATAGATATGTATATATATTTTTAAGTAATCTGTAAAACCTTGAACTTTATTTCTTAATTGAATATCAATCTCTACATCATCTTTTTTATTCAAACTATTATTAACATCTGAATATTCTTGAACTGGAAGGTTATCATCTTCATTATTAAAGTCATCTGATGATATTGATGAAATATTATATTGCCAATGATTTGATTTTGAAAAAACAGTCTTGTTCTATTTAAAAAACGAAAAAAATTTTAATTATAAATTATAATTATAAAACATTATAATTTTTAATTTTCAATGTTACAAATTACAAAACATTATTTCAATGTTTTCTGTAAGAAAATAGCTTCAAATTTTCTCAGCAATTTTTTTAACAAATAATACTTAATTGATGATAAAAAGCTGCAAAAATCCATACTTGGATAACTTTGTTGTCAGGTGTATAACTAGGTACATTAAATTGAAGGCCAAAATCTTCAGAATCTTCAGATAAATCAGCTTCAAGCTTAGATTCAATAATATTTTCTTTGACTAAGTCATTATCTTCTACTATTTTTGGAATAATTAAGTCATTATCTTCTACTATTTTTGGAATAATTAAGTCATTATCTTCTACTATTTTTGGTTTAATTAAATAATCTTGAGTAAATGAATTTTCATGTTTTACTTGTTTAACTGAATAATCAAATGAGTCTTCATGCTTCATTTTAATAATATTATTTTTTGCTAAACTGTCATTCATAATAATTGAATCTTCACTAATACTGTCACTTTTACTTTGATCGGAGTATAAACTAAAGCTTCCTTTATTAAATTCTTCTTTAACTTCTTTAGTTGTATAGTGTGGGGTACTGCAACTTGGAGTATTTGCTAATACTTGGGGAGAATTGTTTTGCTTTCTAAAACAATAAATAAAAACAAGTATAAGCTTTTTTATTAAACACGAGAACACAACAAGCTTTTATTAAACATAAGAATACAGCAAGCTTTTACTAAACATAAGAATAGAGAAAGCTTTATCAAACATAATAATACAACAAGCATTTATTAAACATTAAAATACAGAAAGCTTTATTAAACATGAGAAAACAACAAACTTTTATTAAACAGAAGAATACAACAAGTTTTTATTAAACATGAGAATACAACAAGCTTTTATTAAACAGAAGAATACAACAAGCTTTTATTAAACATTAAAATGCAGAAAGCTTTATTAAACTTAAGAATACAGCAAGATTTTATTAAACATGAGAATACAGCAAGATTTTATTAAATATAAGAATACAGCAAGTTTTTATTAAACAAAAGAATACAGTAAGCTTTTATTAATACAGAAGAACACAACAAGCTTTTATCAAAAAGAAGAATACAGAAAGCTTTATTAAAAATGAGAACACAACAATAAGACTGTTGTGTGGAGTGTAGTACTACCAGGATTGTAATGGAGATTGAACTTGAAACATCTATAAAGTGAACGCTCTATCACTACCACATAAAATATGTCATGTTTTGATCTGACATGTTATAACTAAGGATTGGAACATGTTAAACTTTTTTTAACATACTGTATTTGTAAATAAAATCCACTAACTAGAAAACTTAGTTTACACTGAAAAAACTTGGCATACAATGTTGTTTGTGTTATACTAGAAAAAGTTTATAAAAACCACATGAAAAATATTTAGATTTAATGAAGAATAGAAATGCATTAACAAATATTTAAATTTAAAAAAAGCAGATAAATTGAAAAAGATTGCAAAAATTGCTTTAAAATAAAAAACAAAAGTATTTTTGAATTGATTTTAGTACTTTTAATAAACCTATATTGAGAAAACTTTTGGTGTCTTTTACAAAATGGTGACACTAAAGTGTGTATGATTAAGTAATTTTAATTGATCATAACAGTAATAAAAAAAGATTTCAGATCAAGTGAAATCAACAAACAAACGAAAAAAAATAGAATTGCAAATTATCATTGTATCACAAATCAGCTATAACTTACATTTTTTCAGCAGAGACATCAGGAGTACACCGTAATTTTTTAGTAGCTATATCAGTAATTTCTTTCTTTGTTCTTCCACTAAAATATATATTTAAATAAATTTTTAAAATCCATAAACTAAACCATTATAATTTATGAATATAATATTATTTAAATAATAAAAACTTTAAATAATTTAAGTTAAAAAAAAAGACAAAAAGAACAAGACAAAAAAAGAATAATTAAAGGTTTTTCTTTAGGCCTGATAACTATGGTAACTTTGGTTATAGTAGATAAAAAAAATTCATATATTTATAGAAAATATTAGAGAATTTTAAAATGTCGCTTCTGAATTCATCAAATATTTACAAAACATTTTAAAATATACCATGAATGCCAATATTCCTTGCTGCAGCCCTCGGAATTAGGGTTGCATATGGCAAAGCTGACCTAACTCCTGAATTAAATGTGTTTGAGGTCAGCAAAAAATCACCGCCTCGTTTCTATGTTTTATAATAACCCCTTGGTGTCAAATTTTTTTGCCGACCTCTAATAATTTATTCCCAACCTCATTTTTCCTAATTCTAATGGCTGTTGCTATGTAGTTTTTTGTTGAGTCTCAAAATAAATCCATTTAATAATAATACTAATACTTTGCACTACAGTATTATTTAATTAAATTTCTGAGTTATTTTTGTTTTTACATTGTGGTATTATTTACATTGATGTATTACTTACGTATGTTGTAATACAAAATTAAATTACACTAAAAATTAAGCATAAGCTATGGATGGCATTAAAAAACAAACCATTATAAAATTTAAAACTTATTTTTTAAACATGAGAATTAAATTAACTATTTGAGTTAGATTTACAACACAACAGAACAAAACAATTCACAAAAAAACATCTAGTATACATACAGTACAACACAACACAACAGAACAAAACACTTCACAAAAAAACATCTAGTATACATACAGTACAATATATGTGTTTTACAACTTATATGCTAGAGCTGTAAACTTGATTTTGAAATAATTTACAAAAAATTACCTGTATCGGTATGATGAGCCTCTTTTAATTAATATATTAGATTTGCTGTTTGATTTAGGTTTAACAGAAGTGAGTCTAAACATAATAGTTTTTAACTAAAAAAAAATTATATTAATATTTTATAATTAATAAATATAGATTTAGAAATTGATTACCATGTTAAAAAAATTAAGTATTTTGAAGAAATTTGAGAACTTTCTAATGTTAATTATTCTTAGTATGGATCCTTTATTTCTGAATATTTAAACTAAGATATGCAGTTCTTCTTTCTGTCAAGTTCACCATTCAGCATTCACATTAAAACTAAATTGTTCTGATACACTTTGTAGTTAATTATTTTGGAACTTATGCAAAACATATATTCATCATTATATAGATATTTATCATGTGAGATTAAATATCAGGTGCACTTTTTCAGGATTTGTTTAAGTTCATTACAAAGCTTTTTTTTTTAATTGTTAAATTAATTGTAGCAACAAGACAATATTGATTAGCTTCAAATTTGAAGTAAAATGAGGAATTTTATAAGTCAGTTTCTTTATTAACATATAGTCATGATTACTGTATCAAAAACATAGATCTGTATTAAATACATAGAATTCACAATCATTTTTTTAATTATTCTTCATTTTTACAAGTTCTTTGTTCATTTTAAATGTTAATATGTCTAATATCAAAGATACAACCTAGTATCAATTGAGTTGCAGCTTTTATATATATATATATATATATATATATATATATATATATATATATATATATATATATATATATATATATATATATATATATATATATATAAATATATATATATATATATATATACATATATATATGTGTATATATATATATATATACATACACATATATATGTATATATATATATATATATATATATATATATATATATATATATATATATATATATATATATATATATATATATATATATGATTATATATACCATATATTTCAACAGGACTTGTTGTCTTGTTTATTTGTTTCCTTTCCCATTACATAAACTTTCTTAACTCTTTGTTTGCTAATACAAAGTTGCCCCCATTATCCAATATCATTTCATATGGTGTACCTCTTCAACTGCTCATCCTAAAAAACGCATTTTAAGAGTCAGTATCCAACCCAAACTTTACTTTAAGGTGAACTACTTGTGAAGACAAGCAAGTAAACTAAGTTAAATATCGTTTTGCTTGTTTTTGTCATCTTCCTTAAATAGTTATGAATGGACCAACAAAATCGACAACACGCTTTTCGAAGGCCTTCATATTTATTTGCAGACGTTTCGTTGGTAACAGCGCCATAATCTGCTTGCATTTTGAATAGTCCACTTCCCATTGTTTTAACTCTTCTCTTTCAGTTATTACCCAATACTTGGCAGACAGCTGCGCCAGAATATGATTTATAGCACAGATATGCAGTCCTGTTTCATGGCAATCTTTTACAATTAACTTTGTAATGTGGTTATTTCTGGGCAAAATAATTGGGTTACTTATATTGAACGAGAGAAATCCAGAAACTCAATTCATTTTTTAATTGACTGTTGCATCTTAACAAATTATTTTCATCTATTCGAGGCAATAATTTTAATAAACAGTTTTAGATATTCCTGTTACTTTTTAATCAATTGTATTCTTCTGCATATGATTTCTTTTGAGCATTTATAATTAATTCTATTTCTGCATCAATAATTTCCTCCGTTGAGAGTGCTCATGATGATGAACATTTTTCATCACAGTTGTTTATGAACCTTCGTACCCAGGTTAAGAATCATGTTAACCGTCTTTAACTTGAGTAGTGGGTTGGTTCTAAACGCCATTCATTGGTATTTGGGATTTAATAGCCATCAAAGTATAAGTATTCTTAACTTTATATTAATATAATATAATATAACTATTATATTATACTTATAATATTATAACTTTATATAACTTTAATATAACTTTATATAACTTTATGTTAATATAATATACTTAATATTATTTTATTTTCAATTTCTTCAAATTTATTGATTTGCCATTGGGATTCCTCTTGTCGAATGAAATCAGGTCCAGTTACTGTTTTGTAAATTAATTATTTTTACTCCTCTAGATGACAAATCTACAGGTTTTTTTTCTTTTGGTAAGTAACGCTATTATTTCAGATTTGAATGAGACTGAATTTCGCTAACTCTATTTGCAACATAGTTTTTGAATCTTCTACTTGGATTTTTTAATCCATGATAACATACTTATGCTGTAAGACCAAAATATAACACTCTCTATTTTTAATGTGCAAAGCAAAGCCTCTATGACAGAGAGCGCAAGTTTCAATCCTAACACTGTGCTCATTAATTCTAATCTTGAAATGCTAACTGAGTTCACTGGAGCGACAAGTTTTCGACGACAAAACTTGACATTCCACCAATTTCATAAAAATGAAAAGTAACAAAGAGTTCCAATAGCATTTTGAGAAGAGTCAACAAATATGTTAAGGATTGAATAAATAATTTTATTAGTGATTTTAAAACCTAAACAAAGTGGTATTTTGCATTGGTGTATGTTTTTTAGTTAGCTAAACCAGATATCAGACTTTTGCTTTATTTTTCTGTTACCATTTCATCCCAATCTTTTCCTGAAGTCCATAGTTCATGAAATATTTTTGCTCAAATAACCAAAGGATAAAAATCCGATTGGATCAGTAAGATAAATTTTACTGTGCTTTCCCGCCATATACAAGCATCAGATTGAAGATTTAGTGACTTATTAGGTTGCATATGAAAAATTATTCAAACTCATCTGCATTATAAATTCATCAAATTTATATCTGCAGCATGCAACAAATCACCAAACGTGCGAATGTTTGCTTAAAAAAAGACAGAAAAACGAATGTCACGTTTCTTTACTTTTCTATATACAAATGTTGGAGGTCGCTTAAAATTTTTCAAAACAAATGCATTGCTTAAATAATTAAGCGATTGATCATTTTTCATTTATTATAAAAAATACATAATTCCAATAAAAAACATTTAATTACAAAAATTTAAAACGCATTATTAAAGACTCTAAAAGAAACCATGCTAAAACTACTTTCTTCAAGGGAATGAAGAAAGTAATTATGTTCGAGCATGGTTTTTGCGTTTACAAAAGCATTCAAAATTTTACTTAAAATGACTGCATTTGAAATTACTTAAAAAAAAAACCATGCTTAAACTTAACGATTGCTTTCTTCAATAGCGGTAGATGATAGAATCAAAAACCTACTCCAGGTTTAAAATTTTGTGTAAATTGATGACTGGAACATAACAAAATAAGTGTTTGTCTTGATTTTTAAAACACTTTTTAACACAAACTATTTTTTTAACTTATTGCCTGCCCAAACTGAATTCTTTAGTATATGCGTACACTGCATGTTCTACCTATTTAATCAATCAATGTATGAACACTCCCTGTATGTTTTACTTATTTAAGTCAGTCTATGTACATTTCCTACATGTTCTACCTATTTAGTCAATTGATGTATGTACACTCCTTACCTGTGTACATGTTTAAGTCAGTCTATGTGTGCACACTTCCTAATTTTTGTAATAAATAAAATTTTATTAACAATATAACTTTTAATAACAACAATCATAGGCAATACGCATAAAACTAGAACTAAATACTTTAAAATATAACATAAAAATACACACAAAAACATATGCGCCAAGTGTAATAGATCCTGTGTCGCCAAGCGACAAGGCAAAATTATTAACCACAAGACCACACTTTATATATCAAAATTTTAGTAAATTATAAATATTATATACGTTTTTTACGCTACGCAATTATTTAAAACAATAATTTATTATCAGGTCATCAATTTACACAAAGCTTCAAACGTCAGAATAGGTTTTTGATTTTATCCTCTACCTTCAATAACGTGCTTTCTTTTTAAATTTTCTACTATATTTTTTATATTTTAAACGCTACTCCCTTAAAGTGAAGTAACGTTTGTTTGCTTATTAAAAATATTTTTAAATTTTTATAAATTTTTTTCAAGTTTTGCTAAAAAATACAAAATCTAATAGAATATATAAAATTATTATGTTAATCATAATCTTTATTTTGTACGTTTGACCAATAATATTTATTGACCACCAATAATATAATTTGATATTTTTATAAACTTATTATTAAATACTTAATATATTAATATTTTTAAAGTTTTTAAAAAAATGTCAAAACAACTAAGCATCTTTTCAATGTCAAAGAAAGATGGTACAGTGAAGCGTATCATTAAACGCAAAGGAGAAGAAGAGAAACTATGCAAAATAAAGAGAAACTAAGCATGCGAAAAAAAAGTGCAATGACTTTGGGAAAATTGTATATATGGCCAAATGATATTAAATTTATGCTTTGGAAGACCATAAATGGATCGCCGCCAAGCAATAAAAAACACAGGCAACAACTAAGCTGGATTCATATTGACAAATCAAATGAGTGTTTCTTTTGTTGGTTTATCCAAATATTAGCAATATAACCAATTTATTAACAATGGGGTGTAAATTTTGGAAAAGAACATACTTGTTACGCCACAATAAAGATGATGGGCATAAAGCCTGTATTTCTAAATATCATGAGAATCTTCTCGATATAGCTCCAAGTCTTGAGATAACTGTATCAACATCAATTTTAAGAACTACTGAGAATAACCAAAAAGAATTGAACAGACTTTTTTTGGACATATTTTGTTGTTAAAGAGGATCTTGCATTTAAAAAATTTCCTCAGCTGAGCGAGCTACAAAAGCTAAATGGAATTAAGTTGGGAAAGGACTGGGAACTAGGTGGAACTTAGGTGGAACTTAGGTGACAAAGTTTGCAAAAACTTTGTTTTGTTAATTTCGTATGACTTAAAATGTGACTTAAGTTTAGACGTATCAAATGTTTGTTTTATTGCAATTTTATCTGACGGTTCTACTGATAAGAGTATTAATGAACAAGAAACAGTTTTTTTTAAGATTTATTAAAGATGGTAGCCACTCTATTTGCTGGTACTAACTCACCACTGACAGTTGATGCCGATGGTATATTAAATGCAAAAAAAATTGTTTTAAAAAGTTTATATATTTTTTTTTTTTTTTTTTTATTTTACTTCACCTCCTCAAGGCCGAGAAGGCCACTACAGACGAGGAGGCTACTTATTTTGTGGCTATAACCCTCTCTCAACTCTATAACTCCGAAACACGAACCTTGACGAACAAGGCGGCTGCGCAGAGAAACGAGTTGAGCGCGGTACTACCAGGGACGTGGTGGGGATCGAACTCGGAACCACTCGTTTATAAGGCGAGCGCTCTACCACTACACCACTACCGCATAATTAACAATATCTATGAAAAAACTGTAAATACGTGATGGTGTATCTGTAATGTTTGACAATAAAGCTGGTGTTCAAACTAAAATACAAAATAAAATCCCCAGTATAGTATATACCCATTGTGTGGCTCATAGATTAGAATATTTTTCTTTTTTAGATGAAGAGTTTAAACAATTTGGGAGAATATTCATTGGTTAGCAGGAAAGGGCATTAAGATTGTTTGAAACTGACTATAAAGTTATTATTTATGATTTAGAAAACAAGGCAAATGAGAAAGACAAAACTGCACAGAAAGCAAAAAGATTTTTGAGTTTAATGAAAGACCCACAATTTGTATTTTATTTACGTTTTATTCAAGATATTGTTAAGCCACTAACAACATTGTCATTGAGCTTCAAAAAAAAGAAATTTAAATTTGTGAGACTTTGAGTAAAGTTGATGCAAGAATTGCTGTATTAGACGCATTATCAATTAACCCTGGCTTAAATATTGGACGTTTACTAGATGATTTAGAAGTAAAAGAAGATCAGCTAATCTACAAAGGTATTGATTTAACAGGATTAAAAAAGCGTGATTTGAAGAGAATTGATGAGATTTTTAGACAACAACCAAATGATTATTTTGATTATTATAATAAACAATATTTTATTAAAACTTTGGACGGAGAAAAAGAATATATAGACAAACGATTCTGCCACAATTTCAATCAAGAGCCATTAAAATCTTTAACCACAATCTTTGATTGTTGAAACCGGTCAAAATCCTTTACAGTTTTACAAAAAAAAAGGGGATTTAATGAAATAAAAAGTGTTTGCAACTTTTATGAGCATAATAATATGATAAGCAGAGAAACTTCTAACTTATGTGTATTGCAGTGGCATTTATTCAGGGAGAAAGTTTCTAAACTAAGGACAAATTCACTGTTGCTGGAAAAGGAACCTGATTTGGCAAGTATAAATGTTTTTTTTAGAGATTATGCTAACTTTCAGCACTTCAACAGCAAGCTGTGAACGCAGTTTTTCTTGTATGAACTTACGAAAAATGTTTTATATTATATAAATTATATAAATATAAAAATTAATATATAAATATTAATGAGACATTATTTTGCGATTTATATTTCCTTATTTCCTTTTATTTTAATTTCTTCACGTTTATACATATACTTTATGAGTAAATAAATTTAACGAACTAAATTGAAAAAAAATATTTGTATCATTGGATAACAGTTATTATATTATGTTATTCAATGATACAAATCTTTTTTTTCAATTTACTTCGTTAAATTTATTTACTCATAAAATATATGTATAAATGTGAAGAAATTAAAATAAAAGGAAATAAGGAAATATAAATTAAAATTAAAATAAAAGGAAATAAGGAAATATAAATCACAAAATAATGTCTCATTAGTATTATATCATTAATACATTTATTGCATATTAATAATCAATAATTTGCGTGCAATTTACAAACGCATGAAAAATTGTTTTAAAAATATGACAGTTGATTAAATTCAATAAGCATCTTTGATATGTTCAATAACTTATTAACTAGAATGAAAATTTATTTGAAAATAAAACTTCCTTATTTGACATGTTTCTCTTAAAATTAGACATTTGTCAAAAAATGAAGATACAAACTTTATTATATATCAGTCATTTTTAGAATTGTTGCTGATATTGCTACATTTCTACTCCTTACATTTAAAAGCCATTAAAAAACAAGATTATCTAAACTCTCACATCTTTTAACTTGTTCTCTTGAGCCTCCATAAAATTTTTCTTTATTTTTGATGCATGTTGACAATGTATTTTTTGGAATGCCATATTTCATAGCAACCTGAGACTTTGACAATCCTTCTCCAATTTCCTTCAAAGCAGTGTTCTTTTTGTTGATTGATTTTATGTTAATTTTTCTTTTTACTGCAACAGTAGCCATAATAATGGTAATGACTTATGATAATGACTGGTAATGATCTAGTTATGTTAAGTAAAACAATAAAACAAAATGAGCCCAATCATTTGGCCCACTATTTCACCTAAAGATATGAGTAAGACTATGTTAGATCAAGGCAAATTGGTAGCAACAAAGAAGTGTGCCTGTAGAGTGTATTAATCAAGGAGTTAATTCTATTCGTTTAGAAGCATCACAGTAATTGTGAGCTAGATTTAACCTCATCAAAAATGTTAAATCAGCTAATCCTGTCAAAAAAATTTAGACAACTTTTAAACAAGAAATGCACATGATGGCTGGACTGATGATTTTTGTCTAATAAAATATAGGACTATTGCCTTAGAGAAAAATGAAAATAAACAATTTGATTAAAAATATATTTTAAGAATCTTTTAGATAAATGCACTAATATATGATTTAAGAGACATTAAAAATGTCAAAAAGTTAAAAGTTTTATCGTTAGCAAGCAACGACAAACGGGTTCATGAAAATATAAAAACCAAAAAACATTTAAAAAAGAACTTGATAAAACTTGAAAAGATAGTTTCTCTATTACTTAAGCAGTACATTTTGGATTATTTTTTCAATAACATTGAATAACACTAAAAATATCATTGGAACATCAACACATTATATATTGAATCTTGATATATTAATGTATAAACAACTGTCTACTTTTGTAATAAAAACTGTTTGATATTATACATTTAAGGTTATTTTAGTAATGTTTTCAATTTTTTAAAAGTATTTTGATGCAATTATACTAGAGTATATTTTATCATAAATGCTAGAATTGTCAATTTAATGAGCTTTTAATATAATCCATGCAACCATAACTATATTAAAAATATTTTATTTACTAATTAACTAATTTTTTAATAAAATCCATTTAATTTGAATTTACTTTCAAATTAAAAGATTCTTCATGTCTTCTTAAAAAATCTTATAAAGCCAACAAGTCATCATTAAATCTTTCTTAAATCTTTTATCTATGTCTCATATACATATTGTATGAATCAAAATGCCTAGGACTGCTCTTTTGTTATTAATAATTCTTTTTTGAAATTAGGTATTTATATTTAAAAAAAAAAATTACCTAAAAAATGTATGATGATTTAAACAAAATTTCCAGAACCCTTTAGATATGTTTCGGCTTCCCATTGTGAATGAAATGACATTACCATCTCCTTGATTTGCAGTCTAAATAATTTTAATAACAAAAAATATTTATTAAAAAAATTCAAAAACTTTTTAAAAAGAAATTTATAACTGAAATTAGAAATAAATTTTTTTTTATTACATTATTTTAAAAAAATATTTTAATGGTCTTATTTGAAAAATATTTGTATTTTAATGTAGACCTTATTTGAAAAATTAAATAGGCAGAAACTAATCTTTTAATGCATGGTACAATACAGAAGCAAATAATTTTACTATGCTTAATTTCTATATGAGGCTGAATAGGAATCTTTTAATGATTAATTTGACGACAATGATGTAAGGGATTTAGATAAACCAAGAAACAAAAACTATGACTTTAAACTTAAAGAAAGTCTATGGTAATGTAATATATCTTAAAAATAGTGTACCAGTGTAAATATAATAATGATTTAAAGTGATTCAATGTTTATGCAATGAAACAAAATTTTGATATTTAGAATAAAATTCAACAGAATAACTTTCTAAAAAATTTTTTGTACTTTTTAAAATTGTTTTTACGTTTGTACTTTTTTTGTTTGTACAGACATACTTGTTTGTACAGACATACTTGTTTGTACAAACCTACTTGTTCGTACAAACCTACTTGTTTGCCTCTTTAACATAAAGTTCTGATTAGCTTGATCAAAACCCGGGGTTTGGTTGCAACATTTTTCAAATTATCAAATGATAAATTTTTCAAATTATCAAATGAAATCATTTAAATAAATTTTAGCCATAACTTACACCCACATCATTTTATTTAAATAAACATTAGCCATGACTTTCTTCCATGTCATTTTATTTAAACAAATATTAACCATGGCTTTCATTGTTACTAAAAGTGGGCAAGAATTCCCTTTTATTTTTATTTTAATATTTTGTAATTTCACCTACCTTTAAATTCTTCATTTCTTTAAACTCTATTATAATTTATTCCAATATAAAGCCGTTTATTTATTCTATAATAAATAAAAACTAACCATTTACACTAAAAAAATTTAAATGACTATTCTTTATTTTCTAAATTCTATCGAGTGGAAACAAAAAAATCCGGTGAACTTTAAATCTGATTTCTCTAAACCCATAAATGCTTACTATTTCAATTTTTTTTATATGAAATGTGTTTACATCAATTAGGGTTTCAACTTAATTTTAAGGGGCATAATGTTTTAATGTTGGGGCATAATGTTTTAATGTTGGGGCATAATGTTTTATTGTTGCATAATAATTTTAATGGATTGTTTGGCAAAAGATCAAAATTTATAGCAAGTTGATTTCATCATTTTGCAGAATTTTTCTTTTATTCACCTTATTGGTGGCATTAATCAACTTTTTTTGAAAGTGTTTTTTATTTTTTGTTACTCAGCCTGTCTTACAAAGAACTTCTTCAGCTATTGCCCAAAAATCTTGCGCTCTTCAAGCTGATTTGGAGGATTCGCATCTTTAGAAACAATTTTCACATTACAGCTACAAAACAGCTACAAATTGCTTGCCAAAAAAAGACTTGGATGCAAATTTTTCTTGTCAAATTTATTCAAATTGATTATCGACAGATTTATCTTTGTTCTCCTAGTAAAATTGTTGACCAGGAAGTTGTGAAAAATCCACCTCGCAATATGTTTTGTAGTCCTCAATTATGCACATACTTTTATCCGCCATTATTTTAAACAACTTTTTGCATGTAGAATTCCTTTAATTTCACCATTTAAGCTTCTCTGAGGTTTTTCTTTTAAAATGTTTTAATTCCTTTTAATTAATTTTTTTATATAAGAGCGCAACGCCTTGAGTTTTTGTGCTAGATCTTGCTGTGACTGGTTCGGACTTCTTGCAATTGAACTTGCTGTGACTGGTTTGGATTTCTTGCTATTGAACTATGAATCAACTTTACCTTTTTGGATTTATGGAAAGTTTTCTTCCTTCCACTTCCAGGTCTTATTTCAAAGCTTAGAGTAGTCTTAAACTAGTTTATAATATCTACGACTGTTACTTTAGATTTTGGGACATTTGTACATTTAGCAATATATAGTCAATGGATTTTTGAAAAAAAAATTCACAACTTTTTTATGCACCTCACTTTGTTTCCAAAACATTTTGCAAATAATTGATTTGTAATCAAAAATTATCAACAATTTAAAGATAAGGAAGTCACATTTAATTTTAATTATTTTTAACATTTAATTAAAAAAATAAAAGAAATAAAAAGCATTTGTGTTTTTAGAGATATTTCAATTTAAAGTTGACCAGATTTTTCTGTGTTCACCCGATAAATACTAATTTTAGAACTGAATTCCAAAGATTTCGTTTTCATTTATAAAATTTGAATTCATTAAAACTTGAAAATCATAATAACTGGACACTTATTTTTTTTTAGTTTAAAAAAACTTGATGGCACGGAATAGACTCCAAATTGCTTTCATATGCTCCACATTATTTTGTAACAATTTATTATATGATATCAACCTAATAATATTGGTCCTATGAGGTTGGTTTTAATTATTTTTGTGTGATGCCTTGTTATGTATGAAAAATTCTAAAAATGCTGTTTATTTTCAGATGTTTTCAATTTTGAAAAATGGATTTTTAATGATTTTTTCTAATTGAAAAAATGATTGCAATACAAGATAACAATTCTTTCGATATCTTGATAGCTCAGATAACAATTCTTTCGATATCTCTATATGATATTTTACACATAAAACTCAATACAAATTTGTAAATACAAAAGTTCTTACTGGCCGCAGTTTGATCAAAAACTTCTTTTTTTTGAAACTAATTTTTCTTATAACTCCCCTAAAAAAACAATTTAAAATGTCATTAACATTAAAAAACATAATTTATCAATTTAAAATGTCATTAACATTAAAAAACATAATTTATCAATTATAAAATATCATTAACATTAAAAAACATAATTTATCAATTTAAGTAACACAATTTAAGTAAAAAACTTTCAAATACCAAATTTTCAAAAACAGACAAATGTAAAAAAGCTTGTTTTTACTTTTTATGTAAATTATAATTTACATAAAAAACTGTTACATAAAATTTCAAATTTTTGCAAAATATTAAAAAAAGACCCCTTAATATAGCCTTCATTAATTTATTCCAACCAATAACTTACAAAAGATGTAGATGATACTCATGCTTGCTTCGATTGGAAAGAAAAACAAGAAATCTTTCATAAAAATTTAAACAAGCTAAATCCCTCCATAAAATTTACTGTTGAACTTGAAAACAAAAAAAGACAACTTATTTTTTTAAATATTTGTATTACAAATACAATAAACAGATTTTTTGAGTTATACACAATAACAACGCAATAATAAATGTTCAAATAAAACCAAACCCAATGTTTAAATAATATTAACCCAAGTATATATTATCTGCTTCATGTCCTGCTGCCTTGTAAGATATGCAGTTATAGGTAAAGGCTAGGAGATGCAAACTCTGACATAACCCCCTGCCTTGGGGCTCTTGGTTGAGTAAAGGCTAGAGATGGTGTCTTGATAAAAATACTCACCTTAGGCAGATGTTAAATGCATCCGGCTGCTGTCTTGTAGAAGACCTCCTAGGCAAAGACTTAAGGGGTAAACAGATTCTATCTGTTGACCAGCCTCGCACCCCTTCTCCATCTATTAGGCTGGTGCAGATGTGTTTTTAATACATTGTTTCCAGTTTAGGATGTTGAACGCTGGATCTTCTTGACTCGATTCATGGGTTTTGCTTGTGTCTCTGTTTATATGACTAGGCAACTCATTCTATTATCTCCTAATGAGGGTACAGCTCTAAAACTCAGTTTTACGGTTCTGAGGCCGGCTGGTAGTCAGGTTTCCAGAACTCTGTGGTAGCTCTCAGAGAGGCTAATTCCTTCAACAGATGAAAAATATCAGAGTACTAACAGTGCCATGTTGCGCATGGATGGTGTCCCTGTTTGTACTATTGGTGTGCATTGCCAAGGCCACATTGGAGCCCTTTGCTGCGGCGTAGGGTTTATTAGTGGAAATGAGGCAATTGCTTGGGCTATAGAACAGTGTACTGAGTGCTATCTATGTTTCGAGTCAAGTTCTTTAACAAATTTAAAAATGAATAAAGTAACAAAAACTATAAAACACAAAAAACCACAGTCATCACCAAGTTCACTAAACCTATCATTCACCAATATTCGTGGTCTTCGAAGTAACTTTTTTTCTGTTGAGTCTTATCTCTTGCAAAGTTCACTAGACCTACTTGCTCTTTGTGAGACTAATTTGAGTTCAGCTGTCTCATCTTGTTATCTTAGTGTTGATGGTTATCTTCCTTTAATTCGTAAAGACTCCAATAGTCACATGCTTGGCCTGGGCATTTACATTCGTAAGAATTCACCCATTTGTCGGGAAACTAGGTTTGAATCCACAGACTACTTCTTTATGTGCTTTTGTTTAGCACCACTTCACTCTATCACCTTTCTCTTTGTTCTATATCGCTCTCCTTCATCTCAAGACTGCACTCTTCTTGATGTTATTTCTGATTATATTGACCAAGCCCTTTATCCATCAGCCAATATTGTTGTTGTGGGTGACTTTAATGTTCATCACACTGAATGGCTTGGCTCTAGTATCAGTGACTCTGCAGGCATTAAGGCCCACAACTTTTACCTTTCTCAATCCCTAACTCAAATAGTCAACTTTCCAACTCGCTTTCCAGACAACCCGAATCATTTACCTTCTCTACTCGACTTATGTCTTGTTTCTAATCCTAGTCAGCGCTCAGTTTCTCCACACTCACCCTTAGGTGCTTCTGATCATGGTTTGGTCTCTCTAAAACTATTATCTTATTCTTCTTTACCATTAGAATCCCCCTATCATTGTACATCTTACAACTACCTTAAAGCTGACTGGGACTCTTTCCATGATTTTCTTCGTGATGGCCCCTAGGTAGAAATCTTTTGTCTTCCTGTTGAGAAATGTGCTTCTTACATAACTTTGTGGATTCAGGCTGGCATGGAATCTTTGATTCCCTCTCGACAATTTCAGGTCAAGCCTCACTCTTCTCCATGGTTTTCCTCACATTGTGCTGCTGCAATTGCCAATTGAAACCATTACTTCCATATCTATCAGCAAAACAATTCTCCAGAAAACAGACATCTGTTTATTACTGCTAGAAACCATTGTACGCCAAAGCCTGCTATTCTCAGATCATGAAATCTCGTATTTCATCACAAAAATTAGGCTCTCGTGACTTCTGGAGAATCTTTAATAGTATCAATAATAAGGGCAAGTCTGTAATTCCACCTCTTCTGTACGGTTCAGACTTTGTCACCTCGCCTAAAGACAAAGCTGAATTGTTTGCCAAGAATTTTTCATCAATATCATCTCTTGATTCCACTAGTTGCATTCTACCTGATAGAGCTGTCAAACAGGTTGATCCACTGCTCGACATCCGTATCACTCCAGCTTCTGTATCTAAAGTGATTTCCTGCTCTTAGACTCTTCTACAGCTTGCAGCCCGGACAACATACCTGTTATAGTCTTGCAGAAGTGTTCTCGGGAGCTGTCGTCTATCCTTTCAAAACTATTTAATAAATGCTTATCAGAGTCTTGTTTTCCAGCCTGCTGGAAAGCAGCATCTGTTATCCCTATTTTTAAAAATTCTTGAGAGCGATTTGATTTGTTTAACTACCGTCCCATTAGTCTTCTTCCTATCATAAGCAAGGTTTTTGAATCTTTAATTAGCAAACACTTAATCTCTCATCTCGAATCTCATAACCTACTTTCTGATCATCAATAGATAAAGGTGTAAAGGTGTAAAGGTGTGCATTAGATAAAGGTGGAGAGGTTAAGGCCATCGCTCTTGACATTTCTAAAGCATTTGATAAATTTTGGCATGCTGGTCTTCTCCATAAGCTTTCTTCTTATGGTGTATCTGGAAACATCTTTAAGATTATTGAATCCTTCCTTTCCAATCGTAGTATAAAAGTTGTCCTTGATGGACAGCACTCTTCTTCTTATTCTGTAACCTCAGGGGTTCCCCAAGGTTCAATCCTTAGCCCTATACTCTTTTTAATTTACATTAACGATCTTCCAGATATTCTCACATCTAAGGTGGCATTGTTCGCTGATGATACTACCATTTATTCTTGTCACGATAAGAAGCCAACTCCCTCTGATTGCTTGCAGGGGGCATCTGAGCTTGAAATGGATCTCACTTCTGCTACAGCATGGGGCTCACAGTGGCTGGTGATCTTTAATTTAGATAAAACTCAATTTTTTTCAGCCAATCGTTATGGCAATAATTTAGACCTTCCTATATTTATGAACGGTAATGAACTCGATGAGTCTCCTACCCTTCATCTTCTAGGATTAACTCTTACTTCTGATCTTTCTTGGAAACCTTATATCAGACCCGTTGCAAAATTAGCATCTGCTAAAGTCGCTTCTCTTTATCGAGCTTGTCACTTTCTTACTCTGGATTCTATTCTCTACCTCTATAAATCTCAAATCTGGCCTTGTATGGAATACTGTTGCCATATCTGGGGTGGATCTTCTAATGATGCCCTTTCACTTTTAGATAAAGTGCAAAAACGCATTGTAAACATAGTTGGACCTGCTCTTGCAGCCAACCTTCAACCTCTGTCACATCGTCGTAATGTTGCTTCTCTTTCTCTTTTCTACAAATACTATAATGGGCACTGCTCTAAAGAGCTAGCGTCTCTTGTGCCATCTACTAAAATTCATTCTCGTGTTACTCGTCATTCAATTAAGTCTCATCCTTTTTCTGCTACTGTTCCTAAGTGCTCCAAAAACTCTTATTCGTTTAGTTTTTTTCCTCAAACATCAGTTCTTTGGAATTCACTTCCTTCATCTTGCTTTCCTGATTTATATAATTTGCAATCTTTCAAGTCGTCTGTTAATCGTTATCTTGCTCTACAATCTTCATCTTTTCTCTTCCAGTAACTTCCAACACTAATTAGTGGTTGCTTGCAGCCTTGTTGTAAGCGAAGATAATTAAAATATATATATATATATATATATATATATATATATATATATATATATATATATATATATATATATATATATATATATATATATTTATTGTTTGGATTATTTCTTGGATATGAAACAAAATTAAAATTTTTTTTAATTAAATGATAAAAAGAAAAGTTGAACTTTATATAACGTTTTATATAACATCATTTTGTGAAGACATTCAAAACAAAATTTTTTATTTTTTAGTAATATTTTGAGGCACTATTGGACCATGTTATCATTAAACTATTATTAAATACATTCCCTATTTTTATTTTTATTTGTTAAACCTAATCGTCCATTCACAATCACGGTTGAACATACTCTCAACTAGTTCACAAACCTTTGCGCCATTATCACCTATGGTGACATCAAGCCCCCATGGTGACATCAAACAATCTGGCTTCATTTTAAATCTAGAATATTTTATCGTTGAGATTAAAAGATTTTTTTGCATTGAACATAATAAATTTACTTTACTTGTCTATTATTATATATTTATATATTTATTACATTTTTATCAAATTTACAGAGGTGTTTTTCATTAATGTTATGGAACCATTTTATTACATTCTGGGTATTTTTCCATTGTTAATAACCAGTAAGCAAAGCTTTTGATTTTAATTTGGAGTTAATGTCAGATAAAATAAGTTTTGATAACCTTAATATCTTATTCAGAGGATTTAAAAGACCTTTATGTCAATTCTATTAAAAATTTGTTGATTAATCAAAAGTTGCTTACTTTATTTATTTGGTCTTCCAGTTTTAAATCTTTTAGTAAATAGAAGTGATGGCATTTTTTATGAAGTGATTGTATTAATCTTTGAATACGCATGCGCATGCTAAAGGCATTGTTAGCTAGAGTTTTTTTTTTAATCTGCGAAAAAAATTTATTATCATTATTTGTTTTTTCTTGAAAAGTGTTGTTGAGAAAGTGAAAATTTATAGTTTTAAAATTTATCAAATTTTTTTTAAAGAGAGACTGTTCTTTAACTTGTAAAGAAAATTTTTAGATTTTAGTTAGTGAAATTAATGAATTTATGTTTCTGGGTTTGTTAATGATAGTATTTTAACTTCCAAAGCAGGAAGTTTTCAATACCAATACAATAATGCGGCTACAAACTGAACTGAACATAATAAACTGAAACCTTTTTTTTTTTAATTTTGTTTTTAGTAATTTTAGATGCCCTGAGAAGTCATTACACTCTTAGATTATCACAGAAAAGAATTTGAAAGAAAGTTCATGCCTCCTTTCTTACCAATGTTAGAAAACTTATCCAGAGATGATAAACTATTCTTTAAAAATAAAATTTATTGTAAAACTTTAAAAAACAGCACAACAAATATCTTTTCAATGTTTTCATAAACAACAATTTTCATGAAACAACTTCTGGAAATCTAACAATTTTTATTTAAGACCACATGATCCAGTTTCTCTGTACCCCCTAGTATTAACCTTAAAAAATATGTTTAAAAATTTCTAGATGATGAAGATGCTTCAAAAACTTTGATACAAGATAAAGTTGAGTAGGTTTATGCAGAACAGAATCTGATTTGTACAGCTGCCAATAAAAATGGGACGAAATCTAATTTGCACAGCTGCCAATAAAATAAACAACAATTGCATTTATCTAAAAGCTTATTTAGATACAGGATTATTTATAACTTGATTTTTAATTGCAAAGAAACGACTTTGTAGCAACATTTTAATATAAACTAAAAAAACTTTTCTCAAATAAGCAATGTCTTGGAATACCGAGATAATATGTAACATCATAAATTATTATCATTACTGAACAATTGTAAAATAAATGCTGCTTGCTGAATATAAGAACATTGTTAAAAACTTGAACCTCAGTTATGTTATATTCCATATAACATAAAAATGTAATGTCATATATAACATTTATGGAGAATTTGCATTTACATTTCTTACAATTATGCTGTATTAAGGAAGTAAAAGTTCTTTTAAACTTGCTCAATAATGTTAATATCAGCTCTTAGTGGCTGGTGAACTTTAATTTAGATAAAACTCTTAATAAAGATCTTCCTATATTTATGATCTATAATGTACTTGATAAGTCATCTATCCTTCATCTTCTTGGATTAACTCTTACTTTTAATCTTTCTTGGAAAAATATCAAATCCATTGCAAAATTAGCATGTGCTAAGGTTGCATCTTGTTATTGTGCTTGCCACTTTCTTAATCCGGATTCTATTCTTTATCTCCAAAAATCTCAAATCCGTCCTTGTATGGAATACTGTTGCCATTTCTGGAGCGTATCTTCAAATGATGCTCTTTCTCTTTTAGACAAGGTGCAAAAACGTATTGTAAACCATTGGAAATAAACGTATTGGAACCAACCTTCAACCATTGTCACATTGTCGTAATGTTGCTTCTCTTTCTCTTTTCTATAAACACTATAAAGTGCTTAAAATAATGTGTTTTTGAAGAAACACTTTTTTAAAATGGAGTGTTTTAGAAGAAACACTTTCTTAAAATGAAGTGTTTTAAAAGAAACACTTCCTTAAAATAAAGTGTTTTAGAAGAAACACTTTCTTAAAATGGAGTGTTTTAGAAGAAACACTTTCTTAAAATGGAATGTTTTATAAGAAACACTTTCTTAAAGAGAAAGTGTTTTGTTTTAGAAGAAACTCTTTAAAAACTCTACTGAACTGATTTAGGTTTAACTTTTATGAAAATAAAATTTATTTTAAACAGCTTAGAAGTATAAGACTTCATTAATAAAATTTTAAAATAACTTTACCATGAAAAAGAATTAATCTTTTTATGATTTTGAATTACAAAAATCCCCATATGATAAACTGCCAAATCGATATTAGTTCCTTCATTATCTTGTGCACTATATGTTGTAATACCATACATATCAAGTTGCCGAGCAATATTTAACATTTTTTGATCTGCTTCAACTGCAGACAAACCTCTGTAATAAAATTGAATGATCAGTAGAACAGGTTATATTGATCATTTTTTCAATTATTGTAAAAAATTTCAAAAATCATAAGTTAAAAATTACTTGTGAGATTTGTGATAATTGACAATTGATTTTTCAACTTCCTCAGTCTAAAAAATTAAAAAAACAACAACATTTATCATATATTTAAAACCATATAATGCAAATCCTGAATGCTATAACAAACCATATAATGCTATAATAAACCATATAATGCTATAATAAACCATATAATGCAACTACTACAAAATACTATACTTTTACCTGTTTAGGAACAAACTGAAAGCCAGTTAAATAACCCTCCTTATGATTAACTGGATCAAAGTCACCTAGTTCACCTTTAAAATAACAAATTAGATAAAGTTTACCATATTACATTAAAACAATAAAGTTTTTTTTTTTAAATAGTCATTTAAGATATAACCAAATCAAAAAAGTAAAATTATTTAAAAAAATACTAACCACTTATTATTTACCTTGAAAAAATGGTTTTAAATTATTTTGAACGAATTCAATAAACATGATAAAAAGAAAATTTAAAAATGTGATGAAATAAATTGGTCACTGACTAGCTATTTTTTATATACCTTGAACAATATAGGATGCCATTAAAGCCCCTGTGTCCTCTGAGCAAGGAAGCCTGAAAAAAAACATTTGCCTTATTTTATAGATCAAAACTACTATTTTTATCAAGAAATTGTGCAAATCAAAAATATAAATTTGAAACATATGCATGCATCCAGAAAATATTCAGGTGAAACATGTGCATACATCCAGAAAATATCCATTGGAATTACTTGCACACATCCAAAAAATAAAAAATCTATCTAAAAAAGCTATACCTTCCATCTAGAAGATCTCTGCGAACTTGTAGTGTAAACAAATATCTAAAATTTAATATATATTTTTTATTTTCTATTATTCAACTTTCATTTGGTTTTCATAAAAAAATTTAATTTAGTAATGTTGTAAAGATATATTTTAGTAATTTTGTAATGATTTACTTGATGTGATGTTATAAAAATTTATATTACTTCAAATAATTTTTACACCCTTTTGAACCTTGAACCTAGAAAGCTACTTAATGAATTTAAATTGAAAAAATGTTTATATCTTTTACACACCTGGACTTAGTCCAATAACCCATACACCTGGGTTATTCATACATACACCTGGGTTATTTGACTAAAATACCTGCAATCAATTGTATAATTTTATTCCTAGAAATGAAAATACAGACTTGATGTAATAACTAACCTTGTGTATTCTTGAAGTAAATGAGGTTCTGAAGTATAAAACATCACCCGAAATTTGAATGTTACTTTAGTACAATCTAAAAATGTAATTATTAACTTGAAAATTATTCAACTAACTTTTTTACTAAATCTATCAAATTTTTTTCTAGAAATATTTTTGAAGAATTGTATTCAGGTTTTTCATTTTTTATCATTATTTTCATCTTTAATCCTGCTGCCTTAAATATTTATCACCCTATTTTGCTTTGTTTTTGAAGACATTGTATACTTAATTTAGTATTTACATATTTGTTAACATCTGTACGAAAAATTACTCAAAAACACACTTATTTTAACATATATATTTATTCTTCTTTTAAAAAACTATAAGAATTGTTTTATTTATCAGAATTTAATATTTATCAAATAAGAACTAATTCAAAATAAAAACAACATAATATACATTGAGATCAGAAAGTTAAAGGTCCAAACAATAAATTTAGTAAACAATTGAAAAACACAATTTATAAATATATATAAAAATATACTTAAACTTTTTGCTGATGAAAAGTGTTTTTGTAATTTTTTGCTGATGAAAAGTGTTTTTGCCTTTTTACATTTTTTTCTGATTGTTGGCCGAGGGTATATAAAATCATTAGTTAAAAAATTTTGTTTCATTAAGTTTTTTCATTTCATCAAGTATAAATATGAAAAATTAATTAAACATAGTCAAAATAATTTTACTTTTAAATAATATGTAGGGTCTTATAAAAAAATTAAAACAGATTTTTCAAAATTATTTAATAAACTTAGTTTCAAAATGATAAAAGCCCCATAAAGTAATTGCTGAAATTTTTTTTTTGTTAATATTTTTAAACATTTTTTTTAAAATAAAAATTAAATCAAATATATAAAGTTGAGTATATCTTCACAAAAAAACATAAAAAACCATAATTGTATTCATTATTTGTTTTAATTTATAATAATTATAAACCATAATTATTATAAATTAAAAACTGTAACCTTTTACTTGACGTTGAATTGATTTTAGTGGATCAAGCCAGCACTAAAAAAAAGAGTTAAGATATAAAGAACTCAACATTATTAATACTCTTCTGGTAGCATATAAAAATGACACTCTTTTGCTAGCATATAAAGTTTATATTCTTCTGGTAGCATATAAAATTGACTACTCTAAAGAGCCTACAAGCTTTCTTTTTTTATTATCTTTCTTTTTTTATTTATCTCTTATATTATAAATTTTTTTTTATTATTATAACATCTGTGAAGTGAAGTGCTCACCTTCACAACTCAGATTTGTTGTATTCCTATTAAAATTATTCCTATTATTTAAGTTTAACCTTGTTAAACTTAAAGGAAAACTTTTGTTGACAGCTTGTTGTCCTTGTTGTCAAGCTGTTGTCGTTTTAGAGTTAACGGGTTGGAAGAGTTTTATAAGAATAAAAAACTGAGGAGATTTTTTGTACTAAACATAAAAAAAAACTGATTTTTTTTGTGAGAAACATAAAAAAACTGATATATATATAAATATATATAAATATAATTTTTTTTTTTTTTTTCAACATCTTCACTCCGATCAAGGCTGCAAGCAACCACTATTAGAGTTTGAAGTTACTGGAAGAGATAAGATGAAATTTTTAGAGCAAGATAACAATTGAAAGACGACTTAAAAGATTGCAAATTATATGAATCAGGAAAGCAATATGAAAGAAGTGAATTCCAAAGACTGATGTTCAAGGAAAAAAAAATAGACAAATAGGAGTTTTTAGAGCACTTAGGAACAGTCACAGAAAAAGGATGAGACTTAGTTGAATGACGAGTAATACAAGAATGAATTTCAGTAGATGAAACAAGAGATGCTACCTCTTTAGAGCAGTGCCCATTATTATACCCAATGTTATAATGGTTAAAGGTTGGCTGCAAGAGCAGGTCCAACTATAATTACAATATACTTTTGCACAAAAAAATTGGGTTTTACCTCAATTGGAGTTCACCAGCCACTATGAGCCCCATGCTGCGGCAGATGTGAGATCCTTTTCAAGCTCAAATGCCCCCTCTAAACAATCAGAGAGTGTTGGCTTCTTATCAAGACAAGAATAAATGGTAGTATCATCAGCGAACAATGCCACCTTAGATGTGAGAACATGTAGAAGATTATTAATGTAAATTAAAAAGAGTATAGGGCCAAGGATAGAACCTTGAGGAACCCCTGAAGTTACAGGATATGAAGAATAGTGCTGTCCATCGAGGACAACTTTTATACTTCAATTGAAAAGGAAGAATTCAATAATCTTAAAGATGTTATCAGATACACTGTAAGAAGAAGGCTTAAGGAGAAGACCAGCATGCCAAATTTTATCAAAAGCTTTAGAATCAAGAGAGATAGCCTTAAAGGGATCCCAAACTCCCGACACATGTTGTGTTCATATTAAAGATAATGTTTAAAAAAAAGGTTTGAACCAAGTTTTTTTGATGAAAAATAAATAATGAATGCATACCGAGAAAAACTAACGTTGTTGTTTTAGCCGAAGCTCGTCTTCTCCATTATTTTGAATAACTCAGAGTCTTTAAATTATACGTCGCAATCTACAGACTTTAACGATTCCTTTGAAGCGCGTTTAATTCATAAAAGTTTTAGTATTTGACGTCACGGTACACTTTTAACAAATGAAACTGGAAATATTTTTATTCTAACTTTTTTGATTAATTGTTCAGTTTTTTTTTTTCTATTTTTAACATTTAAAAAGATATTAAAAACCTCAAATATTTTATGCTGGTTCGTTGCTATAAATTGTTATTGTGCTATATATTTAACATTTATAAATTATGAATATTTATTATCTCAATCAAGACTCTGATAAAAAATTGTTTTACATTAATTACCCTTATAAAATTAGTAAAAGCATTTTTATTTGGTTAGATAATATTTCGTCTCAATTTGCTTTGCATTTGAAGTTCGGGAAGTCAAGCAAAAAAAATTAGTTTGAATAATCACTTTGAAATATATTCAAAACAAATTATTTAAATGACGGGGGTTTAAAAGTTTTTTATAACAAATGTAGGTAAAAAATAAATAATTAAATAAAAAGTTCAACATTAAACATCATTTCTTTATTATATTGCAACTGTAAATATTGAAATATTAACTTGAACTAAATTTATTTATTATTTAGAACGACTAAGCAATAAAAATAAAAAGCCCCTAAAATTATGCGATATTGTGTTGTTTATTTGATGATTGCTGTTGGTAATGTTATTTATGTTGATTATTTTCATTAATATCAAAATAGTCCCAGATTAATCTGTTAGTTGCTTTGTTCATTGTTGCTTTATTTCTAATTTAATTTTATCTCTAAGTATAAATTTATGTTAAGAAAGAAAAGTTTTTATTTCATCGCTCGCTCTTTTTAAAAAAGAGTAGAACAAAAGAGAAAGAAAAGTTTCGCGTAATTAAACTTCGAATGAATAAAAGAGTTGTATAGAATATATAAATATATTTTTTTTGCGTCACTTGTTCTTTTTTTAGATGAGAGAAATAAAAGTTTAAATAGTAACTTTTCTTTGAATAAATGAAAATTGGAAGAGAAAATTTCTTGAAAATTTGTATTTGTTGTGTTTTAAAATTTTTTTAATTTTTTATGTTTAGAGAAAAATGCCAAATACGAGACAAATTGGGAAATACCAAATATAATATGTTTTTTAACGCACGTTATGATATTTTGACAATTTAAATTACCAATTATCTTGAATTATTGCCATTAATTAATGTGTTAATTATTGCATTATATAAAAATAATTTGTGCGTATTTTTGTTAAATATTAGTGGTATAAAACAGGCGAAAATGAACAAACTTCATGTTTTTATTTGATGGTTATAAAATATTAAACAGTAAACTAATAATCAAAATATATAATGCCGACTTGTGTTGTTATTAATTGTACTTTTAATGCAAAACCAAGATCTCACATATCCTTTCACGAATTTTCATATCTGATACTACTGTATTGTTTAGTGTATTATTGTACTTTTTTTTTCATAACCTTAACAGGTTCTAATTGATATGGAGTTGCCGACATTTTAAAAGTTTCATTATCAAAAATCAAATGTAAAATAAAATGATATTTCCTTTTTATCCGTATCCAATTTAGCAAATTTAGCAATTTAAAATAAATCAGCGTAATCAAAAAATTTTTATATAATAAAAAAAGTTAAAATTCATTAAATATCTCTAATTAATACTGTCAGTTTATGAAATTAATTGTTAATACTATTTTTCGACAGGAAAAGAAAAAATGTCTTAGCGTAAAAATAACCAGAGAAGTAAGAAAAAAGTTCCCATTGTTTAAATAAAAATAAGTAAGATTCAGAATATATAATACTGCGCTCTCTTGCACAAAAACGAGAGACCGTATACATAACATTCTATATAATGTAAAACACTCGTATGAAAATCATAAGATTCGTAAGTAAAGCTTTAATATTTGTTTTAATTTAAAAACAAAAGAAATATAAGTAAGATATAAAAATCTAAATTATTTAGATATCGGTAAAAAAAAAGTTCATCTTATGAAATAAAAAGCTTTTATTATTTTTGATTTTTACAAAAATTTGTTGTAAAAGTTGTTTTGCTGTATGTTAAAAATTTTTTTTGAATTAAAATTGAAAAACGCAGCTTTGTTTAATTACACTTTTCTTTTGTTAAAAACCTACGTCAAATACTAAAACTTTTATGAATTAAACACGCTTCGAAGGAATCGCCAAAGTCTGTAGATTGTGACGTATAATTTAAAGACTCTGAGTTATTCAAAAAAATGGAGAAGACGAGCTTCAGCTAAAACAACAACATTAGTTTTTCTCGGTATGCATTCATTATTTATTTTTAATCAAAAAAACTTGGTTCAAACTTTTTTTTTAAACATTATCTTTAATATGAACACAACATGTGTTGGGAGTTTGGGATCCCTTTAACCTCTCTATTTTTGCCTAATGCACAATAAAACCTATCGGTTATTACTGCTAGCAAATCAGCTGCAGAACGAGAAGATTGAAATCCATATTGATGATCAGAAAGTAGGTTATGAGATTCGAGATGAGAGATTGAGTGTTTGTTAATTAAAGATTCAAAAACTTTGCTTATGATAGGAAGAAAATTAATGGGACGGCAGTTAGACGAATCAGATCAGTCTCCAGAAGTTTTGAAAATAGGGATGACAGATGCAGCTTTCCAGCATGCTGTTAAACAAGTCTCTGATAAGCACTTGTTAAATAGTTTTGAAAGTATTGACAAAAGCTCCGGAAAACGCTTCTGCAAGACTATAACAGGTATGTTGTCTGGACCACAAGCTGTAGAAGAGTCTTAGCAGGAAATCGCTTTAGATACAGAATGGAGTGATACGAATTCTGGAGTGATACGAATGTCAAGCAATGATCAACCTGTTTGTCGGCTATATCAGGTAGAACGCAACTAGTGGAATCAAGAGATGATATTGATTAAAATTTCTTAGCAAAAAATTCAGCTTTGTCTTTAGGTGAGGTGACAAACTCTGAACCATATGTAAGAGGTGAAATAACAGATTTGCCCTTATTATTGATACTATTAAAGATTCTCCAGAAGTCACAAGAGCCTAATTTTTGATATAAAATAGAAAATAAAATATAAAAAAAAAATTTTATGACCTGAGAATAGCGGGCTTTGGCGTTAGACAAAACCTTTTTACAATAGTTTCTAGCAATAATAAACAGATATCTGTTTCATGGAGAATTGTTTTACTGGTAGATATGGAAGTAATGGTTTCAATTAGAAATTGCAGCAGCACAATGTGAGGAAACCATGGAGAAGAGTGAGGCTTGAATTGGAATCGTCGAGAGGGAATAAAAGATTCCATGTTAACCTAAATCCACGAAGTTATGTTAGAAGCACATTTGTCAGCAGGAAGACGAAAGATTTCTACCCAAGGGCCATTATGAAGAAAAGAGTCCCAGTCAGCTCTAGTTATAAGATGTACGATGATAGGGGGATTCAGATGATGAAGAAGGATTAGGTAATAGTTTTAGAGAGATCAAACTGTGATCTGAAGCAACTAAGGGTAAATGTGGAGAAACTGAGCACTGACTAGGATCAGAAATAAGACATAAGTCAAGTAGAGAAGGTAAATGATTCGGGTTGTCTGGAAAGCAAGTTGGAAAGTTGATTATTTGAGTTAGCAATTGAGAAAGGCAAAAGTTGTGGGCCTTAATGCCTGCAGAGTCATTCAGTGCAATGAGCATTAAAGTCACCAACAACAACATAATTAGTTGAATGATAAAAAGTGAGGAATTCATCAAATTGATCAGAAATAACATCAAAAAGAGTGCAGTCTTGAGATGAAGGAGAGCGATACAGTACAAAGAGAAAGACAATAGAGTAAAGTAGTGCTAAATGAAAGCACATAAAAGAATGGTCTGTTGATTAAACTTAGTTTTCTGACAAATAGTTGAACTCTTACGAATACAAATGCCCAGTTTAAGTATGTGATTATTAGAGTCTTTACAAATTCAAGGAAGATAACCAATAACACTTAGATCACAAGATGAGACAGCCGAACTCAAATTAGTCTCACAAAGAGCAAGTAGGTCTGGTGAACTTTGCAACAATTAAGACTCAACAAAAGAAAAGTTAATTTGAACGCCACAAATATTAGTGAATGATAGGTTTAGAGAACTTGGTGATGACAATAGTTTTTTGTGTTTTATAGTTTTTGGTACTTTAGTCATTTTTAAATTTGTTAAGGAACTTGACTCAAAATATAGATTCTACTCAGTCAATCCTCGGAATTAGGAAAAATGAGGTCTACAATTTATTGCCAACCTCAAACTGTTAGAGGTCGGCATTAGGTTGGAAAAAAAAATTTGACACAAAGGGGTTAGCATAAAATATTGAAACGAGGTCAGCAAAAAATTGCCGACCTCAAACACTTTTAGGTCGGCAGTTAGGTCAGCATTGCCAAATATTGACCCTGATTCCAAGGGTTAATCAGTACACTATTTAATAGTCTAAGCAATTGCCTCATTACTATTAATGTCTAATCCATAACAAAGGGCTCCAAATGTGGTCTCTACAATGCACACCAAAAGTATGAACAGGGACATCATCCATGCTGAATCTGTTTACCCCTTAAGTATTTGTCTAGGAGACCTTTCACAAAACAGAAGCCAGATGCATTTAACATCTTGTCCAAATTGAGCATTTTTATTGAGACACCATCTCTAGCTTTTACTCAACCAAGAGCCCTAAAGGCAGTGGGTGTTTTAAGTTGAAGTTGGCTTCTCCTAGCCTTTGCCTAAAAAAGCTTATCCTACAAGGTAGCAAGACATGAAGCAATACTTAATACTTAATGCACCAATAAACTTCTTATGTTTCTAATACCGAAAGTCAGACATCACTTATGATGTCATACTGAATATGGATAGGTTTCAGTACACACACACACACACACTTACATACACATATATACAAGCAGATATATATATATATATATATATATATATATATATATATATATATATATATTTATATATATATATATTGTATAAAAGATATTAAAATTTAAAATGTTTTTTTGCATTTTTTTCTGATTGTTGGCCAAGGGTATATAAAGTTGTTAGTTGATTAAAGTATTTTATGTTTATTAAGTATTTTCATTTTATTAAGTATAAATATGAAAAAATATAAACTTTAATAGGCACTTACAGCCATCACAATTTAACTCCTATAAGTAAGCTATTTTAATTTACAGACTTTATAAAAAATGCTTGTTTATAAAGATGTTTGATCTATAATAACAATCGATTGAACTGATTGAAGATGATTGATGTTGAAAATATTGACTGTTAATTAATTATTTTTTAAAAAAGTTGATTGTTATTTATTAAATGATTCATTATTTAACTAATATATTTTATATGTATTTTGTTGCTGATTAAAATTGATAACTTGTTACTGATTATACTTTCATAAAGTTTTTTTTTGTCATTTTATTTGGCAACAAATTTATTGATATTGTTTTTAAAACAAAATGTAAAAGCTGTTTTTTGAAAACTTGTAAGTTTTTGGTGTGTGGAAGATTTACATTAGAGTGTGTAATTGAACACATGCAATAATAAATTTAGGCATGCGCTGAGATTCTTGACCAACCCTAATATAAATATATATGTATTTTTGACCTAAACGTTTTGCTTTAGTATACAGCAAATTATAAAAAACAACACTTAGATGAAACACTTTGATTTATTACTTTTCACAATTCAAGTAAACAATATATACACCTCTGCACCTCTGCCTCCCTAAAAATATTATAAAGACTTCACTGAAAAATTCTTGCAACAAGTCTGTTTTAAACAAGACCCAATTTTCTTATATCGAACACTCTCAAAAAACCTTGTTATCTCAACTCTATTTTTAAATTTTTTAAATAATATATGTGTTTGAAAAAAAAAAGCTTAACAAAAACCCATTATATTTTCTTAAAAAATTGAAAACTGAATAAAAATTTTATAAAAAAGTTTATAAAATAATGTTACTTATACTTCATTTATATCCTTATCATCGGATGATATTTGAAGTCCAAAGTATTCTGCTTCATCTAGATTAAGGTGACTATTGACTTGTTTAATTAAAACTTCACCTAGTGAGCGAGGCTAAAAAAAAAAAAAAATTAAAACAAATTTATAATATTGCAAAACCAAAGGTATAAAAATAAATATACTAGTTTAAAATAAAAACTTGAGAATGTTTTGTAATAACTATATTTTTATAATTATACATTTTTATTAAGGTTTTTTTTTATTTTAATATATTTTATAACTAATATTAATTTTACATTTTAAAGCAATGATGTAACCTTGCGTTAGATGTGTATACAATTATTCAATACAATTATTCAACTTTACAAAATATATATATATATATATATATATATATATATATATATATATATATATATATATATATATATATATATATATATATATATATATTGTGATTGTCGTAATAGCATAAAATAAGTAATTATTTTTTAAAATAACACGATGTTTTTTATTCTTGACATGTTTTGTAAAATTTATTTACATTTTCAAAAGATTATTTTACAATAAAAAAAACTCTGAAATATTAAAAAAAAAAAATTAATGATTTAAAAAATTCTCTGTAAAGACTTCTATTTTTTAATATTTATTTCAGAGTTTTTTTAATGTAAAATAATCTTTTGAAAATGTAAATAAATTTTACGAAACATGTCAAGAATAAAAAACATCGTGTTATTTTTATTTTTTGGCTATTCTAGACCATTTGTGACAGCGTCGACTGTATTTGGGCACCAAATTGGGCGCTGCCCAAATTAAAATTTAAGGACCTTTTTTTTTAAAATGTTTTTTTTATGGCAAATTTTTTTTTGTAAAAAAAATGCTGATTTTCCACTAAATTCTGCCGAATGAGGGGATACCACTGCCAAATTTTTTTTCCTAGAATAGGCCCTATATATATATATATATATATATATATATATATATATATATATATATATATATATATATATACATATAATATATAATATATAATATTGTAAAGTTGATCCTTGATTTTTGCCACAACATAATTGTATTGAACTTGGTTTAGAGTGCTTTTATTAATTAATAATCATTAGGGTGGCTCGTAAAACAACACTTTTTGAAAATGTCTGATGGTACCCCCTAATGGTGCTCCATATAATAAATTAATACAAAATTAAAAAATTTTTTGAATAAAAATATTTTTTAGGGGTGGCTCAACCCTTAAACATCAGACATTTTTTTTTTCAATATTTTGAAAAAAAGTTCTTTAAAAGCATATCATGTTGGGTCTCAAAAGAAGTGAAATTTTATAAAAATTTCAAAAATAATAAAATTTATGGTAACACAAATTTAAAAAGTTTATTTAAAAAAAACTATGAAAATATGTACTTTTTTTTTTGTTTGTTAAAAAAACATGTAAATTAAACTAATTATTTAACTATATAAACTACATAAACTAGATTTTTAGAATTTTCTACTATAGATTCATTTTCCCCAAAAAAGCACTGCTCAGATATTTCAATGCATCCACGAAAGGAACCATATACTTTTACAGGATTTAAAAACCAAATAAAATACCAAGATTTAAAAGGTATTGGGAGAATTCCTCTTCTTCAGCCCTAAATCTTGCATTTTCTGTTAATGGTAATCAATTTTAATGTCTGTTAAAAAGGTCAGTGTAACAAACTGTTAGCTAATGTAGCCACAGGGGCGACAACACCGGGGGGCCAGGGGGCACATCTTACTTTTTTTCTAGAAAACAAATTTTTTTTTTTAAAATCTTGATATAGAGGACTTTTTTCACATATTGATGATTGTGCCCCCCTCCCACTTCAAAACCCGTGTTGTCGACCATGAGCCATACCTCAGAGAATCCAACATAGTTAAAGCGCCTATACAAAGAAAAATACTTTCTGAACCACCATGCATTCCATTGTGTTGTGGTTCAAAAGTATTCTGTGCATCAATTTAAAAGGAGAACAATACTTGAAATGGTATTAAAAATAAAATAAAATGAAACCATTGTGCGCTGGGTGAAAAAATGCAAAAAGTCTCTGAGACATGCAGGTGTTTATCAGCAAAGAAATATTATCTTTGTGGCTGTCAAATAGTCAATTTCAGATAATAGAATAAGATCAAAAAAATATGTAGTGATATCTTATCATGCTAAACATGTTATGTTGTTAATTAAAAAATTGTATGTATGTAAACATACATCTACTTACACACAAACAAACAAATATATATTTAGAAGAAACACTATAAAAATTGCAAAGTACAAAGTATGTATAATTATAGTTTTTAAATATGCACAAATAACACCAAATTTATCAAAAAGATCATTAATATAGATAGGGAATAATACAAGACCAAGGTTGAAGTTAAGCTAGTAAAGATTAAAAACAAGAATGAGTTATCAGAAAATAATAGACCTTAGCATCAGACAACAAAAGCTGTTTGTTCTCCAGACCTCCAGAGCTATTCTAATAAAAAAGGAAATAGTTATGATTAGAAATGTTGCACAAGAGAAAATTTGGAGTAGAATTAATATAGATAGAATAAGTGAACTGAATGAGGCTTGATTTAAAACCAATAAGTAGAAATAAAAGTTTCCATGCCTACTTGAATAAAATTTTTAAAAAAGCTTTGTAATGTTTTTTGTAGTCTTTTTGTAGTTGTTATGTTGTCTTTCCCTAGTTATTGCTGATTTGATGATGTCAAATAGATTCACTTTAATAGTAGAAACTTGTAACTGCTGTATACTAAAGAATATTTAAAATTTTTTTACATGATACAAAAATGTGACACATATTTCATACCTACTTTTTAAGGACTTGAGAGTTCTTCATTACTTTTTCAAAAAGAAAAATTTACAAAAAAACGTTTTATGTACACAATTATATAAGAAAATTTGCTGTTCTTTAAAGACAAAATAAGTATACCATATGCAGTCAAATATATTCAGTGTCTAGGTATTTTTGAAGACAATTTCATTTAGTATTTTGTGAGGTCTCTTAATTGTTTTACTCCTAGATGTTTTATAGTAATTAAAAGATGGTCTTGTGTGCTTTATAATTTTACTATTGTAATTGTTAAAAATGAATTATTTTTAGAATTTGAAATATGAATTAATTATTTTTAGAACCTATATCAAACATGTGTTCTGAAAATAATTCATACTTCATGTCAAACATGAAGTATGAATTATATAGTGTTCCTGAAATATAAATTATTCTAAAAATAATTTATATTTCAGGAACACCATAATGTCCTTCCCCCTTATTTGCAATATTCTTGATAAAACAATAAATTGATATCATTGTTGATGAAAAAAGTAAATATTTTTTTAATAAAATTATGATAATTACAAACATAAGATCTCATCTAACCCAAAAATCAACGACGCCTTGGATATGCAAAGAGGTTATGCAACTATCTAGAATTATATCACTATAACAACTAAATAAAGACTGCAAATAAAATAAACACTGCAAATAAATGAAACTTCCATGACTTAAAATTACGGTGCAACAAAGTAAAAAGTAAATTAAAGAAAACAAGTAAAAAAGCATGAAATAAATTTGAACTCAACCTTACTTACGATTAAAATAATTCTAAATACCTGTTTGCATATCAATAGCAAAAACAAGAGTAATATTGGTATTAGCGCTTTAGTAAACAGCTTTGGTCTAATAGCGACTGATAAACAACAAGCAAACATTCTCAATAAACAGTTTAAAAGCTTCTTGAATTCTGCACCTAGTACAGTACTTGGAAAACCTTTTAGCAAAACTAACAATAAAATCAGCAATATTAGCATTAATATTAATCAGTTAATATGAATCCAAATAAAACATAAGGATCTGATAATATCCATCCACTTACACAGCTGTCCAACCAAATGGGCAAAACCTTTCGCCATACTATTCCAACAATCACTTAACCAAGGTGAAGTTCCAACTGCATGGAAAGTAGCAAACATTACTACTATATTCAAAAACGACTTGGTCACTGACCCGATGGTCAAGCTGTTTTTGAATATAGGAGTAATGTTTGCCGGCAATTATCCACCGATCAGTCTCTGTTATGTGCAAACTACTTCAAAATAGTTGACAGCAATTTGTTCATACAGATCAGCATGGTTTTGTTCTCTGTAAGTCATGCTCAACAAATCATCACAAAACTATGGACTATTTAACAAAAGCATCAGCAAATTGATTGTTGTTAGACTTGCTCTTCCTGGACTTCTTCAAGGTCTTTGAGAAGTTTCACCATATGAGTCTAATCTTGAAACTAGAAGGGTACGAGATCAATGTTCAAATTCTGGAATGAGTGAAATCCTCTCTATGCCATGGTAAACAAAGAGTTTTCATGGGTGAAGCGGTATCAGATTGGGCGCTAACTTCTAGCAGTTTCCTCAAGAGTAGATACTGGGATCAATACTCTTTATGATCTTTATAAATGACCTGCCAGATATAACTGGGTCAATCTGTAAAACATTTGTTGATGACACTAAACTGTTCGCCCAATTTGACTTGGTGAAGAACAGAATAATTGTACTGTGCTCCATAATGTAATTGACACTATAATTGAGTGGACAAGAATATGGTATGAGATTAAATATCTCTAAATGCAAAATTCATCAAACTGATCGGCTAAATAAATAGCATACCTAATACAATGCTTGACGCTTGAATTGAGCATTGTATTAGGTGTGCTAATAAATGCTTGAGCTCATCAGATTGTTATTTAGGAATCATAATTAGTAACAACCTCTAACAAAACGCCCAGGTGTGCACTGCTATCTCTAAGGCCAACAAGATGTTTAGGATGCTTAAAAAGACTCTGCTTTATAAATATATCTAGGAGAGAACTTGAAGACACGCCACTAAAATAGCTCACAGTACAAAGCTACCTTACACAGTATAAATCTATTTTACAAAAACAGACTATGCATTTATTTGAAGAAAGACATCACGATGGAGACTTAACACAGTTTTTTAAAATAAAAAATGACAAAGAAACTGTTAACTGGCACCACACTCTCATCTGTTCTGCACCTCACCATGGCCATAGAAGTGAACTGGTCG